CATGGCGTAACTGAACTCGATCCCGAACAAGATGCACCCGTTGAACAGCAGTTCCAAGAACGATCTCTCCGGGTGGATCTCTATGAAGGGGGCGCGGTCCTTGGGGCAGGGGGTGTTGGGAGGAGGAGGCGGGGAGGGCCGGATAGATTTCCTCCGCTTCGGATGCCTTTTGAAGTTGTTGGCCCGGTGACTGATGTGCCGAGGGACGGAGGCAGGATAATGCGCCGCTTGGGTCCTCCAGAGATCCGGAGAAGAGATGGTAGGGAAGAGCAATTCGCTGGACGGGCTCGCCAGGATGGTCGGAGCGGTCATGGTCTTGGACTTGCTGGAAGGAAGAAGGGCACGGTGAGTTTGCTTGCGGGAGACGACCAGGCTGAGCCCGAGGGAGGGAGGGAGGGAGGGAGGAGTCAAACGCGTCATTAGTCTCGAATCCCTTCGTTCCCACTAGCGATCCTTGAATTCCTTCGACTCCTATCTGCCGCCAATTCGCTTCAAACGTTGGTAGTTCGGATTCTTGTAGAGAGCTTAAGCTTGCAATAAATCTTTATATCCATTTGAAATGCCTGGACTTCCTGATTTTCCTGCCCTTGACATTACTCTCTCTCTTTCTCTGTCTCTCTCTGTCTCTCTCTCTCTCTCTGTGTCTCTCTCTGTGTCTCTTTCTCTCTTTCTCTCTCTCTCTCTCTCTCTCTCTCTCTCTCTCTCTCTCTCTCTCTCTCTCTCTCTCTCTGTGTTTCTCTGTCTCTCTCTGTCTCTGTCTGTCTGTCTCTCTGTGTGTGTCTCTCTCTGTGTCTCTTTCTCTCTTTCTCTCTCTCTCTCTCTCTGTGTGTTTCTCTGTCTCTGTCTGTCTGTCTGTCTCTCTTTTCTGTTTCTTTTCTCTCTCTGTCTTTCTTTCTTTTTTCTCTCTCTCTCTGTCTCTCTTTTTTTCTCTCTGTCTCTCTTTTATCTCTCTCTTTCTCTGTGTCTTTCTCTTTCTCTCTCTCTCTTTCTCTCTGTGTTTCTCTGTCTCTGTCTCTCTCTCTGTGTCTCTGTCTGTGTTTCTTTCTCTCTCTCTCTCTCTGTGTGTCTCTCTCTGTGTCTCTGTCTGTGTCTCTTTCTCTCTTTCTCTCTCTCTCTCTCTCTCTGTGTTTCTCTGTCTCTGTCTGTCTGTCTGTCTCTCTTTTCTGTTTCTTTTCTCTCTCTCTCTGTCTTTCTTTCTTTTTTCTCTCTCTCTCTGTCTCTCTTTTTTCTCTCTGTCTCTCTTTTATCTCTCTCTTTCTCTGTGTCTTTCTCTTTCTCTCTCTCTCTTTCTCTCTGTGTTTCTCTGTCTCTGTCTCTCTCTCTGTGTCTCTGTCTGTGTTTCTTTCTCTCTTTCTCTCTCTCTCTCTGTGTGTGTCTCTCTCTGTGTCTCTGTCTGTGTCTCTTTCTCTCTTTCTCTCTCTCTCTCTCTCTGTGTTTCTCTGTCTCTGTCTGTCTGTCTCTCTGTCTGTCTCTCTGTCTGTCTGTCTCTCTCTCTCTCTCTGTCTCTCTGTCTCTCTTTTCTGTTTCTTTTCTCTCTCTCTCTTTCTTTCTTTTCTCTCTCTCTCTGTCTCTCTTTTATCTCTCTCTTTCTCTGTGTCTTTCTCTTTCTCTCTCTCTCTTTCTCTCTGTGTTTCTCTGTCTCTCTCTCTGTGTCTCTCTCTGTGTCTCTGTCTGTATCTCTCTCTCTCTCTCTCTCTCTCTGTGTTTCTCTGTCTCTCTCTGTCTGTCTGTGTCTGTCTCTCTCTCTCTCTCTGTCTGTCTTTCTGTCTCTCTCTTTTCTGTTTCTTTTCTCTCTCTCTCTCTCTGTCTCTCTTTTATCTCTCTGTGTCTCTCTTTTATCTCTCTCTTCCTCTGTGTCTTTCTCTCTCTCTCTCTCTGTCTCTCTGTCTCTTTCTCTCTGCCTCTCTCTCTCTCTCTTTCCCTCTCTCCTTTTTGTTGTATAATATGAGCAAAGTTTGACCAGTTCGGAATTTTGTTTTTAAAAAAAAAATTGAAAGCCAAGCAGCAAATTAGAAATATCTCTAGCCATATATTTCATCCCACTTTGCTAAATGTTGGCTTGCAAAGAAAATATATGTACTGGCATGATGTCATTTTTCTATCTGGCACTTCAAGTTGCTGTGTTCACACATTTGCACTCGTTTGCCGGCTAATATAAATTCTATCACTTATCCACACTGTTTTAAAAAAAAAAATCCACTTTGCTTCTTCTCAACCGGAAAGCTGAGCTCATCATCTCCCTGAGATGCTAGATTTCTATGTACGGGGATGGCTGTTTTTATAGAGCTGTCTTTTGTTCCTGCTGAGCCAAATATTTTGATTTGGGAAGGCAATCGATGGAGATAGAGAGCGAGAGCGAGAGAGAGAGAGAGAGAGAGAGAGAGAGAGAGAGAGAGAGAGAGAGAGAGACTGCCTGAACTAAAATGACCCCTTAATTTTGGGAGGCGAATGCAGTCACATACGAAACATTTTCTGACTTATTCTCCAAAGCACCTGTCCTGAAGGCAGGACAAGAAACAATGGATGGAAACTAATCAAGGAGAGAAGCAACCTGGAATTAAAGAGAAATTTCCTGACAGTGAGGACAATTCACCAGTGGAACAGCTTGCCACCGGAAACTGTGGGTGCTCCAACACTGGAAGTTTTTAAGAAGAGTTTGGACAACCATTTGTCTGAAATGGTATCAGGTTTCCTCCTTGAGCGGGGGGGGGGTTGGACTAGAAGACCTCCAAGGCCCCTTCCGACCCTATTATCCTACGCTTGTCGCTGAGAGACGAGGAAAGCTTCCCTCGGCTCAGAAACCTAAAATCAGGAGGACTAGAAACTTAGGGAGAAAAAAATCAGCCCAGGGGAGCGAGATGCTCTCTGCATTTGCGAGGAAAGCTTCCCTCGGCTCAGAAACCTAAAATCAGGAGGACTAGAAACTTGGGGGGGGGAAATCAGCCCAGGGGAGCAAATGCAGAGAGCATCTCGCTCCTGGCCTTAGCAAGCAATTTTAATTGTGGGGGGGAGGGAGGAGGGAGGGAGGGAAGTGTAGGAAAATCATGGCCCATTTGGGAAGGTGGGAGTCTGGGTATGAGACCCTCCCCACCCCGCTTTTCTCTTTGTCTGCCCCCACCCACCCAGCAAAGAGGATGGGGGGAGATGCAGATGGACCGAGGATGCTCGGCTCCTGTATCCTCTGCAGGGCCTGGAGGCGAGGCGGTCGGGTACCAATCGGAAAGTCTCACCTGGATCACGATGGAGGAAGGAGCATCCTTGGGAGGCAGGGACCGAATTCCTGCAGAGATCAGGGGTCCAGCTGCCCTGCTAACTTCATCCGCCCCCTCCCCATAAGGAAAGCTGGAGGAGGAGGGGGGGGTCAGGCTGGGAGGTGATGTCACCAGCCTCCACCCTCCTCTGCTCCCCACCCCAGCTCTGCAGACACCCGCCCACTTTCTCCCCGGCTCCTCTTAAAGGGACAGGACGGCAGGAAATCCCAGGCTCTCTGCTTTTACCTGGTGGGCGGGGTCGGAAATGCGATCTATCTATCTATCTATCTATCTATCTATCTATCTATCTATCTATCTATCTATCTATCATCTATATCTTCTATCTAAAGCTATCTATATTTATCTATTTATCTATTTGTCTGTCTGTCTATCACCTCTCACTCTCTCTCTCTGTATATATATATATTACAAATTATTCTAAAAATATGAATTTTATATATATATATATATATATATATATATATATATATATATAAACAGATTAAGAGAGTTGGAAGGGATCTTGGAGATCATCTAGTCCGACCCCCCACCCAAGCAGGACACCCTACACTATTTCTGACAAATGACAGTACAATCTCTTCTTGTAAGCCCATCTATCTATCTATCTATCTATCTATCTATCTATCTATCTATCTTTCCCCCCTCTCCTATCTATCTGTCTGTCTGTCTGTCTGTCCATCTATCATCTATCTATCTATCTATCTATCTATCTATCTATCTATCTATCTATCTATCTATCTATCTTTCCCCCTCTCCTATCTATCTGTCTGTCTGTCTGTCTGTCTGTCTGTCTGTCTGTCCGTCCATCCATCCATCCATCCATCCATCCATCCATCCATCCATCTATCTATCTATCTATCTATCTATCTATCTATCTTCTTTCCCCCCTCTCTCTCCTATCTGTCTGTCCGTCCGTCCGTCCGTCCGTCCATCCATCCATCCATCTCTCTATCTCTCTATCTCTCTATCTCTCTATCTCTCTATCTATCTATCTATCTATCTATCTATCTATCTATCTATCTATCTATCTATTTTGCTGGACTAGGCGGAACTGTCCAGCTTTGGCTGAGAAAGGAGGCCATGCAGCCTAGCGGTGAAGGAGCTGCGTTTTTTGATCCGGTCCTGAGAATCCACGATCTCGCGTTCGAGAGTAGCAAGGCGATGTGGCCCGTTGTGCCCGCTTCAGCCCAGCCTTCTGGGCGGCATAGTTGTTTGTGAGGCCTGCTTAAAGGGGCGTTTTCTATCCCAGCGATTGTGGTGAACGAAACGCGGGAGAAAAATCACAGAACCGGTTCAATTTATTTCCTGCTTTTGCTTGGATTTTCCCCTGCAATAACCCTGCGAGGTAGGCTGGACTGAATCCTAATCTAGTTCAAATCTCCGGACAAGAGAGGAATCCAAGTTAAAGCATAAAATCCTAGACTGGAAGATTGGTGGGGAACTTAAAGATCATCTAGCCCAACCCGCCTCTCCAGCGCAGGTCCCAGGATCTGTAGAGGACTTAGCTTGGACTCCAACGTGTAAAATATATTGGCGCAAGATGTAAATCTTAGTGGCCAAAGCAGGGAGGAAGTGAGCAGAAAGGAAAAAGTGGGAGACACGCCCCTTTTTATTACACCGGCCAATGAGGTCTCTCAAGATGGCCCAATGAGATCCTTAAGCCAAGCTTTGTCAGCCTGTGGAACTCATTGCCACAATCAAATCAAATCAAATCATCAAATCAACTCATTAAAAAATCAAATCATTTTTTTTTTTTATTCTTTTTCTTTCCGTCCACTGACATTCCCCCGAAGTCTAAGACAGAGTCCTTCTTTAACGACGGATATCTGCTTCTTCCATCCTTCGGATGGGAGGATGAGGAAAGAGAGAAAACAATAAGAAGGAACAGACAGTCCTCGACTTACGACGATTCCTTCCAAGTTACAACGGCACGGATAAAAAGGACTTACGACCGGTTTTCCCCACTTTCGACCATCGTAGCATCACGACGTGGTTCAAAATCCAGACGCTTGCCGACCGGTGATCCCCTTTTTGCGACCTTCGGATGAACAAAGTCAACGGGGAAGTTGGTTTCGCTTAACGGCCATGTTCCTAACTTGAACCGCTGCAGTGATTTGTTTAACGACCATGGCAAGAAAATGTTGTACCATGGGGCAAAATTAAAAATGTCTCGCTTAGCGACGGAAGCATGGTGGCGGTTGTAAGACGAGGACTAGCCCTGCTATTGAACGGGTTCAAAAGAAGGCAAGCTGTTGGGGTTTTTTCAGACCCTATGGACCCATATGGACCCTAACCATATTCTCTTTTAAAGCATCTCCTGGTGGCCTCCCTAAAATCTGCGATGTGAGAGACGGGAATCCCCGAACGCCATTTTCCACTTCAGACCCGGGAAGCCACTGCGTACATCTTGGAAGTCGATCTCTGCAAAGCTGGAGGGGCACCTCGAGACTTCCTGCCCAGGTCAGCTCCTGTTTTAACGACCGGGGAAAGCAAAATTCAGTTTGCGACGGGATCGTGCAAAAGGTTAACAGCTGGGCTGGCACTCCAGCAAAACGAGTGTTTTGTTTTGAACGGGATTTTGGCCAGCTGCTGTCGTCCGCCAGCAGCCTGCGGAGCTGGCAGCGGAGTCGGACAGCAAGGAGGCTGGGGAGGAACATGGACCAGTCCTGGAGCCTGGGGAGGGCTCAGATGAGGGCTCTGCGTCGGAGGCAGAGAAGGGGCCAGGGCCATCTGGGAGTGATGCGCGGACTCCGGAGCCTCCAAAGTCGGACAGCAGAGAGGCAGAGGAACAGGAGGAGCCTGTTCCTAGTGCACGCATGTGGCAAGACCAGCTAAAACAAAAGGGGCGACTCAGGAGTAAGGCTTGGAGATGATTGGCCCTTCCCATAAGGCTTAAAAGAGGAGCAAAGGCACGTGGGCCTTTTGCCGGAAAGCAACGTTGTTAATTCTGTTCCCAGTCGGCATCTCTGTTTGATTCTGGACTCCGTGTGTCTTTGCCAAGTAGATCTTTCTTTGGCAGCGTGTCAGAGGAGATAAAGATTGGTGATTATCCCGAAGGACGCCTCCCGTAGGACTTTTTGCAACTAATTGGGACTCAGATTTTGAGTGACAGGGAGCCGCAGCAGAGGGGTGAAAGAGCCACATGCGGCTCCAGAGCTGCAGGTTGCCGACCCTAAGGTCCCAAACGGGTCTTGGAGAAGCATGGGATCCATTTGAAGAAAACCCTAAGCAAGCATTGAGAATTGTCTATGTACCCATTTCACTGACCTGGAGAGGAACAATGGAGGCAGCACGACAGGATAATGCAGGCCGCCAGGTTTCCCGCCGAGCCGATCAATCCCAGCCACCAAGACCACCCGAAGTCTTGGTGGACGTCCAAAAAGACGTTGTGGGGCACGTGGGCGGCCCTTTCCATGTAGGCGTTGATGGCGTACCACAGGGAGCCCACCAACCCCAGCACACCTGGGCAGGTGAGTCAAGACAGAAAAGGACCGTCATGATTGCGGCCAAAACTCCATCCGGCACTCAATCGGAGGAACGAAACTCTCCCAAATTTGAGAAAAATGTCCTTTTCTTGGCGCTCGATGGAGGCCGGAATTCAGATCTTCATGCATTGCAGGAAGTCCTCGACGTACGACCGCCATTGAGCGCCACGATTCCGTCGCTAAGCGAGGCGGTTGCTGAGCGAGTTTTGCCTCGTTTTACGACTTTCCTTGCTGCATTTGTTAAGCGAACCCCTGCCATCGTTAAACGAATCACACGGTCCTTAAGTGAATCTGGCGTCCCCCGTCAACGTTGCCAGTCGGACGGTCCCAAAAGGAGATCATGTAACACTGAAAAAAAAAAGGGACTTAGGACCGTTTTTCACTCTTACGACCGTTGCATCCTCCCACACAATGAAAATTCAGACGCTTGGCAACTGACTTGTATTTACGACGGTGGCAATGTCCCAAGGTTATGTGATCCCCGTTTTGCGACCTTCTGATGAGCAGAGTCAACAGGGAATCAGGATTCAACTTAACAGCCGTGTTACTAATGTAACAGCTGAAGTGATTCGTTTAACGACGGTGGCAGGGAAGGTCGTAAAAATGGGGCAAAACTCACTCGATGACCGTCTCAGTTTGGGATTTCATTTGTGGTCGTATGTCGAGGACTCCCCGTGTTCCTACGATCCTCGCCTGCAACCCTTCGCAGCTCGCTTCCGGCAAGCCAAGGGAAGCCAGATTCGTTTAACGACCATGCGGTCCACTGAATGACTGTTGTGTTTCCCAGCGATTCTCTCAACAACCCTGGCGAAAAATTGTGATGCCATCGTAAAACAAGGACCAGACGTAGACGCGAGGCCACCGGGATTGCTTACCTCCGGTCCCGAGTGCCAATCCAGCCGCAGAATGCATCTTCCGTTTCGTCTCCGGCTCACCCAGGAAGATTTTGATGCAGTCGAGACCTCCCACCAAAAGTACCAGGCCGCAGCCCGAAAGCATGTCGGAAGTGATCAACAAAGCCCTCGTCACCACAATTTTCACTGCAAGGGAGCAAAATTAACAGAAACAACGGAAAAACAGAGCGGGGAGGGACCCTGGAGGTCATCTAGCCCAACCCCCCTGCTCCAGCAGGAAACCTTATTACCATTTCAGACAAAGTGTTCTCCAACCTCTTCTTAAAAACCTCCAGTGGTGAAGCACCCACAACTTCTGGTGGCAAGTTGTTCCACTGGTTATTTTTTTTCCCCCTCAGTTGTCAGGAGATTTCTGCTCAGTTCCAGGTTTGCTTCTCTCCTCGATTAGTCCTCGACTTACCACACCGTTCAAAGTTACAAAAAAAGGTGACTCGGGACCGTTTTCCACACTTACGACCGCTGAGGCACTCCCCGTGGTCCAAATTCAGACGCTCGGCAACTGACTCGTATTTACGACCGTCGCCGTATCCGCCGGGGCGGGGGGGGTGTCTTTCTGACGTTGGCAAAGCTAACGGGGAAGCCAGACTCCCTTCACAACCATGTTACTAACGTAACAACTCCCCTTAACAACGGCAAGGCAAGAAACGTCGTAAAACGAGGCAGCACTCACTCAGCCCATGTCTCGCTTAGCCACAGAAATTGCGGGCTCCACCGCGGTCGTAAGTCGGGGACTGACTGCACAGGGATGGTATGCATTTACTTTCCCTACCAGTTTTCTGAATCTATTAAGGATCTATTTTTGGGGGGGGGGCTAATATTTTGAGGCCCCCCTTAAGTGGCACCCGGGAAAAATATTTAGCTGAATGGCCGAGAAAAGCTGCTGCCGGCCCGTGTTGACAACATTGTTCTGAATGGGAGGAAACGGAAGGAAAGGAATTAAATCCGCTTACTGGGATGTTCGGCCAAAATGGAATCGTACTGGTCACAGGTCTTAATGCCGTCTTGGACGTTAGTGACGCATTTCCTCCAGAGCCCTTGGCACTTGTGGCTGACCTACGAAAGAAAAGGGGACGGGCCTAGGATGGCAGGCGGTCCTCAAACTTACGTCCGTCGGAAGAGGCGACGGACTTGGCCGACGTTACTTGTGACTCCGTTTGGCCGGCCTCTGGTCTCTTCCGGCCCGTCGTTCATGCGGTTGCGTTTTGGGCGCCTGCATTTAAGGCCACTGGCGGCGTCCTATGGCTGCGTGATCCCTGATTGATGACGATTTTGATAGAAATCAATCACCAGGAGACTGGGAGTTCTAGTCCCACCTTAGATATGACGGCCAGCTGGGTGACTTTGGGCCAATCACTAGGAGACTGGGAGTTCTAGTCCCACCTTAGATGTGAAAGCTGGCTAAGTGACTTTGAGTGACAATCACTCTCTCTCAGCCCATGCCACCTGGCTCCCCCCCCAACTTTTTCAGAAAAGGAAGGAAGGAAGGAAGGAAGGAAGGAAGGAAGGAAGGAAGGAAGGAAGGAAGGAAGGAAGGAAGGAAAGAAGAAAGGAAGGAAGGAAGGAAGGAGGAAGGAGAAGGGAAGGAAGGCGGAAAGGAAGGAAGGAGAAGGGAAGCAAGGAGGAAAGGAAGGAAGGAAGGAGAAGGGAAGGAAGGAGGAAAGGAAGGAAAAGAAGGAAGGAAGGAAGGAAGGAGAAGGGAAGCAAGGAGAAAAGGAAGGAAGGAAGGAGGAAAGGAAGGAAAGGAAGGAAAGGAAGGAAGGAAGGAAGGAAAGAGGAAAGGAAGGAAGGCGGAAAGGAAGGAAGGAGAAGGGAAGCAAGGAGGAAAGGAAGGAAGGAAGGAAGGAAGGAAGGAGAAGGGAAGCAAGGAGGAAAGGAAGGAAGGAAGGAGGGAAGGAAGGAAGGAAAGAGGAAAGGAAGGAACGAAGGAAAGGAAGGAAAGGAAGGAAAGGAAGGAAAGGAAGGAAGGAAGGAGAAGGGAAGGAAGGAGGGAAGGAAGGAAGGAGGAAAGGAAGGAAGGAAGGAAGGAAGGAAGGAAGGAGGAAAGGAAGGAAGGAAGGAGGAAAGGAAGGAAGGAGAAGGGAAGGAAAGAGGAAAGGAAGGAAGGAAAGGAAGGAAGGAAGGAGAAGGAAGGAAGGAGGAAAGGCAGGAAGAAAGGAGGAAGGAAGGAAGGAAGGAAGGAAGGAAGGAAGGAAGGAAGGAAGGAAGGAAGGAAGGAAAGGAAGAGCAGCCAGGGAGGAGGTGGGAAGACAGAGAAGAGAAAAGCAGATTTCAGCCAAGCCCATCGTTGGCGTTTTCCTGCAACCGACCTCCAAGCTATCATCGGCGTTCACGATCCAGCAATCCGACCACGTCGCTGCGCCCAGAAACACGGTGGAGAGCAGAGCCACAAAGAAACACACCAGTTGTAAAGCGGCCGCCATTTTGCAGAACTGGAGGAAACCAAAATAAAGCTTTAATTTGATTTTTTGACAAGACATCATTTCTTTTTTCTCTCCCCCCACCCCCCGGGCTAAGGAATATATGCCAGTAAAAAAAAAGATAAAAAGAAAGGGAAAAAAGAGAGAGAGAAAGAGAGAAGAAAGAAAAAGAGAGAGAGAGAGAGAGAGAGAAAGAAGGAGAGAGAGAGAGAAAGAGAGAGAGAGAGAGAGAGAGAGAGAGAGAGAGAGAGAGAGAGAGAGAGAGAGAGAGAGAGAGATGATAGATAGATATTACTAAAGGAATTTTTAAAGAAGAATTAAAAAGCCAAAACCAACTAAAAATAAAAATAAGATAAAATATATATTAAAATAGCATTCTAGTATCCTTCCTTCCTTCTTTCCTCCCTCCCTCCCTCCGTCTCTTTCTCTTCCTTCCTTCCTTCCTCCCTCCCTCCCTCCCTTTCTTGTTCCTTATTTTTCCTTCCTTCCTTCCTTCCTTCCTTTCTTCCTTCCTTCCTTCCTTCCCTTCCTTCCTCCTTGTTCCTTCCTTCCTTCCTCCCTCCTCCCTTGTTCCTTATTTTTCCTTCCTTCCTTCCTTCCTTCCTTCCTTCCTTCCTTCCTTCCTTCTTCCCTCCCTTCCTTCCTCCCTTGTTCCTTCCTTCCTCCCTCCCTCCCTCCTTGTTCCTTATTCCTTCCTTCCTTCTTCCTTCCTTCCTTCCTTCCTTCCTTCCTTCCTTCCTTCCTCCCTCCCTCCCCTCCCTCCCTCCCTTGTTTCTTCCTTCCTCCCTCCCTCTGTCCCTTATTCCTTATTTTTCCTTCCTTCCTTCCTTCCTTCCTTCCTTCTTCCTTCCTTCCCTTCCTTCCTTCCTCCTCCCTTTCCCTCCCTCTCTCCCTCCCTCCCTCCCTTGTTCCTTATTTTTCCTTCCTTCCTTCCTTCCTTCTTCCTTCCTTCCTTCCTTCCTTCCTTCCTTCCTTCCTTCCTTCCTTCCTTTTTCTTTCTTTCTCTGATATATTGCTACTTAAATACTTTATCCTTTACTTTGAAAAGCATTACTTATTTCTCTTTGGATCAGTTTGATGATTATTATAACTGAATAATCTCTTTCTTAAAAAAAAAAAAACACCCATGTTCTATACGTTATGTAGAATTAAACCATTTCTGTTTGAACTGGCTTTGGTAGACCTTTTTCACGAATGCTTGCATAATCTTCATTTTTAAACTCGCGATCCTGTATTAAGGGCACAATTTCTCTTCTTCAGCCCTGTGCCAAGTCAGAATCCTGCTGCCATCAGCCTCTACGCACCCCGATTTAATCGATCTATTTTACGACGATGCATCGCTTTAATAAACGATGCTATCTTTCATTTGTGCCCTACCTAAATGGAAATATTTGTGGCTTTTCTTCAAAACTTGTTTTCTGAAAGTGGGGAAGGTCTTTTTCCTGAACGTACCTTTTTTTTTAGCTTTTAATTTGTCAATGGGTTTTAATTCGAATTGTTTTAAATTTGGGCCAAAGTTATGTAATTCTTTTAATAATTTTAAATTTTGTATTTGGTGTGTGTTTTAGTTCTGGCTGTGCACCGCCCTGAGTCCACTAGGAGAAGGGCGGTATACAAATTGAATAAAATAAATTAATTAATTAAACTTGAGCCATGCAGTCACAACGAGTTCCTCTCTAAGCTTATACACGGAGAAGAATCTATTGCTTCTTGTGGCGGTCAGTTCCACCGGCTCAAAATCTTTTAGGCAGTTCCCCTCCCACTCGACCTTTTTCCAAACCTCAGCATCTTTTATCCACTTGTAGATCAGGGGTGTCTCACTTTGTGACACACTCTCGCAATTGCTGGGCTGGCACCAAACTTGTGTTTTGCACGCATTTACGTCCCCCGAAATCTGCATTTTGCAGAGTGGGACCTTCTCTGTCTCTTGATTATGCTGAAAAAAATAAAAATAAAAATATTTACCTGGACAAACGGATGGACGGACGGTCCGAGAAGCCGCTCCGGTTTGTAAAAAGCGAAGCTATCTGGAGATGGTACCCCCCCAAAATTTGGGGTCAATCAAATGCAATATTTTATGGAATCGGGGGTAAGATTTGGGCTGGGAAAACGGGATGAAAAAAAAAAAATCAGCCTTTATTTCAGAAATCCACTCCCCGCTCTCGTGATCGAAAATGATTCGGATGGGGGTTCAATGTTCCTTTTTTATGTCCGTCCGGCTTTGAGGTTGAACGGGGGGACGGCGAGATTTCTGGCAATAAAAACGCTTATGGGTCAAGGAGCAGCAAGGTGGACGCTGGCATCTCCAAAAGACTGGCACGAAAAAAGGAAAAGAAAAAAACTCAGCTCAGTGGTTGTTCCAGCCATCCTTCTTTGAAGGCACAAGGAGGGTGGGGGGTGGGGGGGTGTTATAAATAATTCCAGTTAATTTGTCTCACCGAAAAAAAAAAGAAAAAGAGAGCAGGGGGCACCTCCTATGGGGAAATGGGGGATTTTGAAGAGCGAATGCGTGGCTGGCTGGAAATCTTTTCCCTCCCTCCCTCCTTTGTTTCATACCTTCCTTTCTTATTCTCCCCTTCCCTTCTCTCTCCTTCCTTCTTTCCTTCTTTCCTTTTCTACTCTCCCCTTTCCTTCTCTCCTTCCTTTTCTATACTCCTCTTCCCTTCTCTATCTTCTGCCTTTCCTTCCTTCCTTTTCTACTCCCCTTCCCTTCTATCTCCTTCCTTCCTTTTTCTACTCTCCCCTTCCCTTCTATCTCCTTCCTTCCTTCTTTCCTTCCTTCCTTCCTTTTCTATACTCTTCCCTTCTATATCTCCTTCCTTTCCTTCCTTCCTTTTCTACCTCCCCTCCCCTTCTATCTCCTTCCTTCCTCCTTCCCTCCCTCCCTCCTTCCTTTTCTACCCTCGCCTCCCCTTCTCCTTCCTTCCTTCTTCTACTCTCCCCTTCCTTCTATCTCCTTCCTTCCTTCCTTCCTTTTCTACGCTCCTCTTCCCTTCTCTATCTCCTTCCTTCCTTCCCTTCTTTCCTTCCCTCCCTCCTTCCTTTTCTACCTTCGCCTCCCCTTCTATCTCTTCTATCTCCTTCCTTCCTTCCTTTTCTATGCCCCTCTTCCCTTCTCTATCTCCTTCCTATTCTCCCCTTTCCTTCTATCTCCTTCCTTCCTTTCCTCCCTCCCTCCCTTCCCTTTTCTAGTCTCCCCTTCCCTTCTCTCCTTCCCTCCCTCCTTCCTTTTCTACCCTCGCCTCCCCTTCTATCTCTTCTATCTCGTTCCTTCCTTCTACTCTCCCCTTTCCTTCTATCTCTTTCCTTCCTTCCTTCCTTTTCTATGCTCCTCTTCCCTTCTCTCCTTTCTTTCCTTCTTTCCTTTTCTACCCTCGTACGTGAAGGATCTCCAAATGTTATTTATCATCTGATTGAAAATCTTTCCGTCACTTTTTTCCGTTAAAAATATCACAATACGATACACAAGAACGCTTTGTTGGTACCGACGCGAGGAGTTTGAGCTTCACTCTTGCAGAAAATTTTTCTTTTAGAGAGAGAGAGAAAAAAATCTGGATTAGCCCACCAAAATCCCAGCTGGATGCCGGGAAAAAAAATAAAAAAAACCACAGGAGAACATTCCACTCCAGCTGTTTCTTTCCAGCAGCCATTTGTGCAGAAAAAATTAGATTAATGAGTGTAAGTCTCCAGTGCCCTCCCCGTTTCTCCAAAAATTAAAAAAAAAGAAAAGAAAGAAGATTGTTGGTCTGAAGAACCGAATTTGAAGACCTCAAACAGCAGCGTTGCTGAGTCAGGGGTCTCTGCTACTGAACAACAGGAAGAGAATAACAAGAGTGGGAAGGGACCTTAGAGGTCTTCTAGTCCACCCACCCCCCGTCTCAAGCAGCAGAGCCTAATATAGTACAAAGCCACGGGAATACAAGAATTTATTTACGGATTTATTTTACAAAACAGGAAAACATCCTCTCGTCAAAAGCAGAACCGGGCGCCGGAAAATAATAATAATAATAATGTTAAAAAGCGGCTTTATTCTACCACAACGGGCGTTTTCTTTTTCTTCGCTTTCGCTTTCCCAAAACGAGACGGCGTGAATGTTGGAAAACCGGGTTTGTTATTATTTATAATAATCATAAAATTATTTTAAGCCTGCCTTGGGTTTCCGTCGGAAGGTGTTTTTATACGCATTGGTTACCCCTTTTTACAGGGAGCCTGAAAAGGTAAAAAGAAAGGGGGGGGAAAAATAATCAGAAAGGGAAAAATAAAATAAAATAAGAGGGCTGTTAGTTGCCAAGCTGTGTTTGTGTGTCTCTGTGTGTGTGTGTTTGTGCGGCTGTATGTGAGCAATTTAATTTTGGGGGGTACCCCACGTTGCAATTTTATTTTTGGGGCAAAGCTGGGTTACCCCACCCTCCTATACAAAAAATGCAACCCTGAGACTTGTAGAATGGGAAGGGGTGACCAGGAGGCTATCTAGTCTGACCCCACCCGCGTTGAGAACGGCAACACGTTTCTCCACCTCCAGCCTCCTCCTCCTCCTCCTTCGGGAGACGTCCCTCCAGGGTTTCACCCGGAAGAGATCCGAGCGAAAGGGAAGCTTAGACGTACTCTCTCGTGACGGTTGTCGAAGGTTGCGATTGTCGGTAATATTGCTGCCCCCTCCTTTCCTCCGGTTTGGGGCAGGAGCAGCTGAGGAAGCTGCCCCCCAGGATCAGCAAACTGGCCGCCGACCAACCCACAAAGAGAGCTGGTCCGAATTCGTACCTGGAAGAAATTCGACTTTGTTAAAAAGAGACGGAACAAATCCTTACCAGAGGTGGAATTCATCCGGTTCAGCCCGGTTTAGACGAACCGCTTGTTAACTTTGTGTGCAGATTCCTTACCAATGCCGGTTAGTTATCCTGCGCGAATTTGGACGGCGGGTTTGACTTCCGAGAAACCTAACTTGGTTGCAGCAGGAACGAAGGACAGATAGTTCTCGAATTCGCTTCGCGACTGTGTGAAGTTACAATGGTGCTGAAAAAAGGGACTTACGGCCGTTTTTCACACTTACGACCGTTGCAACATCCTTGGTGGTCGGGTGTTCAAAATTCTTGGTAACTGACTCGTGTTTACGACAGTGGCAGTGGTCCCGGGGTTATGTGTGATCCCTTTTTATGACCTTCTGATGAGCCAAGTCAATGGGGAAGCCGGATTCACTTAACAACCGTGTGACTAATTTAACAACCACGGTGATTCACTTAACAACCGAGGCAAGAAAGGTCTCCAAACGGAGCCAAACACATTTAACAAATGTCTCGCTTAGCAACTGAAATTTTGGGCTCCGTTGTGGTCGTAAGTGGAGGACTACCTGCCTCGGCTTCGCGTTCTCTGATTTTCAGAGCTAACGTGCTCTTGAAAATGGAGGCTCCACTCTGGGAAGCAAAACATCAGGCCTTCCACTGTATTTTGGCTGGATTTTTATTTATTATTTTTATTTATAGTTTCCATTTCTATACTGCCCTTCTCCAAATAGGACTCAGGGCGGTGAGCAGCCAAAGTCAGAACATACAAAATTTAAAAGCAGTTTAAAATAATTAAATATTTTGGCCTAAATCAACCCATTTTTAAAATTTAACTCAAGCCAGCCTTCAAATCAGCCTTCATTCGCCTGTCACTCTTCAGATAGTTAACTTTTCAGAAAATATAATTTTTGAGTTTTTGAGATGGAGGAAATAAATTTATTTTTTCTTGGTAGTCTTTTTTACATTTTTTTTTAAAAAAAAAGAAACTTGGGACACTGAAATTCGAAATTAGGAGCGGGTAGGAAATGTGATCCGGATGGATGACCTCAATGGGACCCATACTCACTTGGCATTCAGGGGGGTGCTGGGGTTGAAGAAGTCGTGGGTCACCCGGGAGGCGTACCACGAAACGGCCCCAGCTGTGCACAGCCCTGCAAGAAAGAAAATAAATAAAAAAATAAAAGGAAATTACAGGCAGTTCTCACGTGACGACCGTAATGGAGGCCAAACTTTACGTTGTTAAGTGAAACATTTGTTAAGGGAGTTTTGCCCCATTTTACGGCTCAGCATCCACTTCCTTATTTCTTCCTCCCTCCCTCCTACTTTCTCTTCTTCCTTTGCTCCTTCGTTCTTCCATCCTCCCCTTCCTCCTTCCTTCCTTCCTTCCTTCCTTCCTTCCTTCCTTCCTTCCTTCCTTCCTTCCTTCCTTCCCTCCCTCCCTCCCTCCCCTCTTTCCATTCAGCAGCACAATTGCTCCAAACACTCCCACAAGAGGAATTTTGTTCCCTATTTCACCCTCCACCTCTGACCAGAATGCGGCCACAGGTCCTCCCTCCATAAAGAATTCCATAATATCTTTATTTTGGCCCTTGACCAGCATAGGGTAAAAACACGAGATCAACAGACTGTGGTTTTTTTCCTTTCCTTCCTCTCTCCCTCCCCCACTTCTCCCTTTCCTTTCTTTTCCTTTCGCCTCTGTTCCTCTCCTTTCTTTCTTTCCTTCCTTCCTCTTTCCCCTTCTTTTGTTTCTTCCTTCTTTCCTCCTTCCTTCCTTCTTTCTTCACGTCCTCCTCTCCTTCCCTCCCTCCTTCTTCTCTACCTTTCCTTTCGCCTCTGTCTCTCTCCTTCTTTCTTTCCTCCTTCCCTTCCCCTTCTTTAGTTTCTTCCTTCTTTCCTCCTTCCTTCCTTCTTTCTTCACGTCCTCCTCTCCTTCCCTCCCTCCTCCTCCTTCTTCTCTACCTTTCCTTTCGCCTCTGTCTCTCTCCTTCTTTCCTTCCTCCTTCCCTTCCCCTTCTTTAGTTTCTTCCTTCTTTCCTCCTTCCTTCCTTCTTTCTTCACGTCCTCCTCTCCTTCCCTCCCTCCCTCCCTCCTTCTTCTCTACCTTTCCTTTCGCCTCTGTCCCTCTCCTTCTTTCCTTCCTCCTTCCCTTCCTTCTTTAGTTTCTTCCTTCTTTCCTCCTTCCTTCCTTCTTTCTTTACTTCCTCCTCTCCTTCCCTTTCCTTTCACTTCCTTGCTATCTTCTTTTCCTTTTCTTTCCTTCCCTTCTTCTATCTTCCTTTCCTTTTCTTCCCTTCCCTTCTTCTATCTTTGCTAATTTTAATTCGTTTTTTTAAAAAAGGGGGTGTTTTAATGCGTAAGGGCCAAATTCATTTAATGTTTTAAATTGTTTTTTTTTAAATTTTATATATTGTTATGTGTTTTATTTGGCTGTTCACCGCCCTGAGTCCTTCGGGAGAAGGGCGGTATATAAATCTAATAAATACAAATACAAATCTTCCTTTTTCCTTTCCTTTCCCCCTTTTCTCCCCGTCCCTCTTCCTTCTCCTTTCCTCTCTTCCTTCCCCTTCCCTCCCTCCCCTTCTCCTTTTTCTCCTTCCCTCCCTCTTCCTTCTCCTTTCTTCTCTTTCTTCCCCTTCCCTCCCTCCCCTTCTCCTTTTTCTCCTTCCTTCCCTCCCTCTTCCTTTTCCTTTCCTCTCTTCCTTCCCTCTTCCTTCTCCTTTCTTCTCTTTCTTCCCCTTCCCTCCCTCTCCTTCTCCTTTTTCTCCTTCCCTCCCTCTCCTTCTCCTTTTTCTCCTTCCCTCCCTCTTCCTTCTCCTTTCCTCTCTTCCTTCCCCTTCCCTCCCTCCCCTTCTCCTTTTTCTCCTTCCCTCCCTCTTCCTTCTCCTTTCTTCTCTTCCTTCCCCTTCCCTCCCTCCCCTTCTCCTTTTTCTCCTTCCCTCCCTCTTCCTTCTCCTTTGCTCCCTTTTCCTTCTTTCTCCCCCTCTTTCGGTCTCTTTCTTCTCCCTGTCTTTTTCGTTTCCTGCCCTTATTTCTTCCTCCCAATTAATTTTCAATCTGGGTTTCTTTTTTTTAAAAAAAATAACTGCTTTTCCCCATTTCCCCTTACCAGCCAGGAGGAAAAGGGCCCCTCCTAAAACCGCAATCCAGCTTTTGGCCACGGGATTTTGGTCCCCGACTTTGGTGCATTTCATGCCAACCACGCTGACAATCGACCCCAGGAAGCCCAGGAGGATGGAGATCACCATCAGCGCCCGAGACGTTTGGATGTGAACTGCAAGACAAGGCCCCATTGGGTCACGTGCAGAGCGCAACGCAAGAAAACTCAATACGGGCAGTCCTCGATTTACGACCATAAGGGAGACACCCCCTTCCCCCATTTCCGTTGCTAAGCGAGACAGGTTTTAAGTGGGCCCCCTTTTGGCGAACTTTCCTGCCACAGAATGCCGGCAGTCCTTAAGTGAGTCACACAGTTGCTAAGCGAATCTGAAGGAGGTCACCAAAACAGATCGCATGACACCCCCCCCCCCCGGACGCTGGGACCGTCATAAAAAGGAGTCAGCTGCTGAGCATCTGATTTTAGGTCACGTGACCGCGGGGAGGGATGCAACAGTCATAAGTGCGAATCACGGTCCTAAGTTACGCATGCCGAGGTGATCGTGGGCAGTATAGAAATTTGGGGGGAAAAAATAAAATAGAAATAAACAAAGAAAACGCATCGCTCCCCAATCCAGTTTTTAAAGGATTATCCTGGTGAATTTTAAAGACACCCACGCCTGGAGTTGTTTGAAAGATTCCCAACTCTATCCAAAAGAGCAAAAGACCAGATTAAGCAGGGGGCTGGACTAGAAGACCTCCGAGGTCCCTTCCATCTACTATTCTGATCGATGGATTGATCTGATCAGCCGGCCAAAAACCCATTCCCACTTATTTTGGCAAACGCCGCTTGCATTCCTCTTCCACGCCGCTCCCTCTGCCCTCCGAGCTGGGCAGGACTGAATCCACCTATAAACTAATTTTTTCCCCCCCCAAGGAAAAATAGAAAAGAAAAGAAAAAAAAAACCTCGAAAAAAAAAAACCAGGTCGGGAAGACTGAAATCGCAGCCTTCGAAGCAGGGCAGAAAAGCCACCGCATCCCCCACCCCAGAAAAGCCGGATTTCGAGACACGAAAGTTTTCACGCGTGGCGTGGCTGCGTTCCCATTACCCGGGTCCCATAAATAAAGAGAGACAGAGAGAGAGAGAAAGGGAGGGAGGGAGGGAGAGAGAAAGAAAGAGAGAGAGAGAGAGAGAGAGAGAGAGAGAGAGAGAGAGAAGGAGACAGAGAATGAAAGGAAGGAAGGAAGGAAGGAAGGAAAAAAGAAAGAAAGAAAGAAAGAAAGAAGTGCACCATTCGGGCAAAGCCAGAGATCTGCCCCCACTTTTCTGCCCCCCGTCTCGAGCCACGGGTGCCTTTTGCAACACGCGTGGGTTCGTTCCCACCATCCGGATCCCATAAATAAAGAGACGGAGAGAGACAGAGAGGGAAAGAAAGAAAGGAAGAGAGAGAGAGAGAGAGGGAGAGAAAGAAAGAAAGAAAGAAAGAGAGGGAGGGAGAGAGAGAGAGAGAGAGAAGCAGAAAGAGAATGAAAGGAAGGAAGAAAGAAAGAAAGAAAGAGAGAAAGAAAGAGAGAGAGAGAGAGAAAGAGAGAAGGAGAAAGAGAATGAAAGGAAGGAAGGAAGAAAGAGAGAGAGAGAGAAGGAGAAAGAGAATATAAGGAAGGAAGAAAGAAAGAAAGAAAGAGAGAGAGAAAAAAGGAGAAAGAGAAAGAAAGAAAGAGAGAGAGAGAAAGAAAGAGAGAGAGAAAGGGAGAGAGAGAGAAAGAGAGAGAAGGAGAAAGAGAATGAAAGGAAGGAAGGAAGAAAGAAAGAAAGAGAGAGAGAGAGAGAGAGAGAGAGAGAGAAAGGAGAAAGAGAATGAAAGGAAGGAAGGAAGGAAGGAAGAAAGAGAGAGAGAGAGAGAGAGAAAGAAGGAGAAAGAAGGAGAAAGAGAATGAAAGGAAGGAAGGAAGGAAGAAAGAAAGAAAGAGAGAGAGAGAAAGAAGGAGAAAGAAGGAGAAAGAGAATGAAAGGAAGAAAGAAAGAAAGAAAGAAAGAAAGAAAGAAAGAAAGAAAGAAAGAAAGAAAGAAAGAAAGAAAGAAAGAAGTGCACCGTCCGGGCAAAGCCAGAGATCTGCCCCCACTTCCCTGTCCCTTCCCCGTCTCGAGCCACAGGTGCCCTTTTTTTTTTTTGCAACGCGCGTGGGTTCGTTCCCACGACCCGGGTCCTTCCTCCCACCCCCCCCACCCCCCCAAAAAAAGCAGAAATGCCCCTTGCAGGGAAAGCCAAAGATTCCGCCTCTCCCTCCCTGCCCTGGTGCCTTCAACGCGCGTGGGTCCCCAAGCAGGGCGAGCGTGCCTCTGCCCGCGTGCAAAGCGCCCCTGCCCGCCCCCCGTTCCCCACGCACCGTCCAGCGAGAGGAGGGACTCGTGGAGCTTGCACTGCACCTGGCCGGTGCTCTGGGCGGCGCAGCTCATCCACAGCCCCTCGTAAAGCCCCACGGCCGTGATGATGGCATCGCCGGCGTAGGAGCTGTGCTTCCACTGGGGCAGAGCCGCGGCGCACACGGCGCCCACCCAGCCGCCCAGCGCCAAGAAGTAGCCGCTCAGCTGCAGCCCCGCGCTGGCCATCGAGCCCCACTGGAGACGCGCTCCGGCCGGCAACGGCTCGCCTTCGCCTGGCCGCGGGTGGAGCCCAAGCCTCCCCTCCTCGGGGCGGGCTGGCGGGCTGGAGGCGGAGGAGGACGGCGGCGGCAGCAGCTGCTGGACTCTGGCCAGGATGGGAGACCACCGGGAGAGCCAGAGCTGGGCGCTGAGCGGCAGCCCGGGAAACAGGGGAGCGTTGGGATGAGCTCGGGAAGACCCCCGCCCCGGGAGAATGGGAGCTGAGGAGGGTGGGGGGTGAGCGGCAGAGCGGAAAAGAGGAGCGTTTGGATGCCCTCGGGAAGCCCCCCTGGGAGAATGGGAACTTAGATGAGGGTTGAGCAGTAGACCAGAAAATAGGAGCGTTTGGCTGCACTCGGGAAGCCCCCCCTGGGAGAATAGGAGCTGGACTCTGGCCAGGATGGGAGACCACCGGGAGAGCCAGAGCTGGGCGCTGAGCGGCAGCCCGGGAAACAGGGGAGCGTTGGGATGAGCTCGGGAAGACCCGCGCCCCGGGAGAATGGGAGCTGAGGAGGGCGGGGGGGTGAGCGGCAGAGCGGAAAAGAGGAGCGTTTGGATGCCCTCGGGAAGCCCCCCCTGGGAGAATAGGAGCTGGACTCTGGCCAGGATGGGAGACCACCGGGAGAGCCAGAGCTGGGCGCTGAGCGGCAGCCCGGGAAACAGGGGAGCGTTGGGATGAGCTCGGGAAGACCCCCGCCCCCCCGCGCCCCGGGAGAATGGGAGCTGAGGAGGGTGGGGGGTGAGCGGCAGAGTGGAAAAGAGGAGCGTTTGGATGCCCTCGGGAAGCCCCCCCTGAGAGAATAGGAGCTGGACTCTGGCCAGGATGGGAGACCACCGGGAGAGTCAGAGCTGGGCGCTGAGCGGCAGCCCGGGAAACAGGAAAAGAGGAGCGTTTGGATGCGCTCGGGAAGCCCCCCCGGGAGAATAGGAGCTGAGGTGGGGGCTCAGCGGCAGAGAGGAAAATAGGAGCGTTTGGATGAGCTCGGGAAGCACCCCCCCATGGGAGAATGGGAACTTAGATGAGGGTTGAAAAGTAGACCAGAAAATAGGAGCGTTTGGCTGCACTCGGGAGGCCCCCTTGGGAGAATGGGAGCTAACTGAAGGGGGGGCTGAGTGGCAGAGCGGAAAATAGGAGCGTTTGGATGAGCTCGGGAAGACCCCCTGGGAGAATAGGAGCTGAGATGGGGGCTGAGCGGCAGCCCGGAATACAGGGAGCGTTGGGATGACCCCCCAGCCCACACCCCAGAAAATGGGAGCTGACTGAAGGGGGGCTGAGTGGTAGAGTGGAAAAGAGGAGCGTCTGGATGCGCTCGGGAAGCCCCCCCCATGGGTGAATGGGGACAGAGATGAAGAATGAACAGTAGACCGGAAAATAGGAGCATTTGGGTGCGCTCAGGAAGCCCCCCTGGGAGAATGGGAGCTGACTGAAGTGGGGGCTGAACGGAAGAGCAGAAAAGAGGAGCGTTTGGATGCCCTCGGGAAGCCCCCCTGGGAGAATGGGAGCTGGACTCTTGCCAGGATGGGAGACCACCGGGAGAAGCAGAGGCAGGCGCTGAGCAGTTGGGATGAGCTCGGGAAGCCCCCCCGCCCCGGGAGAATGGGAGCTGAGGAGGGTGGGGGTGAGTGGCAGAGCAGAAAACAGGAGCGTTTAGATGCGCTCGGGAAGCCCCCCCATGGGAGAATGGGAACTTAGATGAGGGTTGAACAGTAGACCAGAAAATAGGAGCGTTTGGATGCCCTTGGGAAGCCCCCCTGGGAGAATGGGAGCTGGACTCTTGCCAGGATGGGAGACCACCGAGAGAAGCAGAGGTGGGTGCTGCTGAGCAGCAGCCCGGAAAATGGGACCGTTGGGATGAGCTTGGGAAGTGCTGCCCCCCCCACTTGGAAGAATGGGAGCTGGCTGAAGTGGGGAAAAGAGGAGCGTTTGGATGCGCTCGGGAAGCCCCCCTGGGAGAATGGGAGCTGAATTGGGTGCTGAGTGGCAGAGCAGAAAAGAGGAGCGTTTGGATGCGCTCCGGAAGCCCCTGGGAATATGGGAGCTGGACTCTCGCCAGGATGGGAGACCACCAGGAGAGCCAGAGGTGTGCTCTGTGTGTGTGTACATGCAGTTCAACTCCTATTGTGTATATACACACATATATATATATGCGTGTGTACAATATCATACCTTAACTATACTATCATTAATACAATATTATAAATATATAATATATACTTAAGTTAGTTTTGCTATTCTGGCCTGTTCTCCAAATTTTGAGCCTTTATTTCTTGGATTGTTTGAGCAAAATGTCTTCTTGAAACCCAAAGACGCCATTTTCTTTTTTGGGACATAAAAATTGCCCAAATTGTGATTTCATCAATTCCCAGATTTTTCTCTGCACAATCCGTCTTGCCACTTCTACGAAGCGCCTGGGTCCCTCTGAACACCCCCCCTCCCCAAGAATTGGGGGTCCAGGATTAGGGTTAGGGTTCGCTCCCTTCTTTCTGTGGCTATCCACCACGATCCCCCCCACAAACCTGTGTTTGTTGTCTCGCAAACCAAAACAAACCACGATTGCAAGAACGAAACTTTTTCCCAACCAGGTTGGGGAAAAAAACGTCACCAATCCAACGCGAAAAATATAGAATTGCACTCTGCCTGGGATGGTTGGTGGACAAAGGCATTCCTGGCCGGCACGGCCCTCCGCGTGCGCTCACACACACACACACACACACAAAATACACATACACAAACACCCCTTCGAATTTTTTTTTTTGCGGCTTTGCTGCCAGAAAAAAAACCTGAGCTGCATGCTAATCGGGTTAACCTTTGCATTTTGGAAAGCAAGGCCAGCTTTGTGTCCGAAAATTGTGGGGGCTGCTTGCCATTTCGCCTGGAATCCGAGTGGGTTGCGTTTTGTCAACAAAAAAGGCATTGACACACAACAGGCTGCCCGTGTGCTGCGAGAAATGTGTGTAACTTTTGCCGTTTTTTGTTTTTTTTTGTTTTAAAAAGATGGTTCGTGATTCTCCAAGAAAACCAAGTTTAAATCACGACAAATGTCAATACAAGGCAATACGGGTAGACCTTGACTTGTAAGTTCGTTTAGTGTCCGCTCAAAGTTACGACGGCACTGAAAAAGGGACTTGGGACCATGTTTCAAATTTACGACCGGGGCGGCAATTTCCCCATGATCAAAATTCGGATGCTGGTTCGTAATTACGACGGACGCAGCGTCCCAGGATCAAAATTCAGATGCTTGGCCGCTGGTTCGTAATTACGACGGACGCAGCGTCCCGGGGAGTCACGCGGATCCCCCTTTGGCGTCCTTCTGCCGATTCGCTTAACAACCGTGTTAGTAATTTTAACAACGGTTCGCTTAACAAGAAAAGTCATGAAATGAGGTCCAAACTCCCTTGAGAAACGTCTCACTTAGCGGCATCAATTTTGGGCTCTCCATTGTGGTCGTTAAGTTGAGGACTAGCTGTCGAAGCCGTCGTTCGCGACGGTCCTCCATAGCTAATGAATGATTATTAATCGATGCTGCAAATCCCTGAACATCTGGAGTATTTTTTGTTTTGTTTTTCTGGTGTTTTTAGTTGTAATGAAAGTACAAAAAAAATTACATTTTTCAGATAGGGACAAACTTCCAACGAATGTAAACATTTGCAAAAAAAGAGACTCTCAAAAAGGGAATTGAGACACTAATAACGTCCTTCTCCAATGGAACAATTATTGGACGTTATACAGGTAGTCCTCGACTTACGACAGTTCATTTAGTGACTGTTCAAAGACTTCATTTAGCGACTGTTCAGCGGCACTAGAAAAAGGGACCGTTTTTCACTTACGACCTTTGCCGTATCCCTGTGGTTGCGTGAACAAAATCCGGACGCTTGGCAACTGACTCGTAGTTATGACAGTTGCAGTGTCCCGAGGGGGTCACATGATCCGCTTTTGCGACCTTCTGAAAAGCAACGTCAATGAAAGCCGGATTCGCTTCACGACCGGGTGACTAATTTAAAAAACTCGCGGGGCTTCACTTAACAACGATGGCAAGAAAGGTCATAAAATGGGGAAATGCTCACTTAACAACTGCCTCGCTTAGCAAGAGAAACCTTTTGGGGGGTCCATTGTGGCCGTAAGTCGAGGACTAAAGCCAATTTCAGCTGAACTAACTTAACCAAAGCAACGTTTCACTTAACAACCGGAGCAAGAGAACTAAAATGGGCCAAAACGCACCTCACGAACGTTTCACTTAGCAACATAAATTTGGGGCTCAATTGTGCGTGGAAATTGACAGGGAGTCCTCGACTTACGACCCATTCATTTAGCGGCCATTTGAAGTTACAGCCAGGCTGGGGGAAAAAAACGGCCATCCTCGTCCTTACGACCGTTTCAGGGGTCAGGAGGGGGGGGGTCGCCGTAGGCAACTCCTCCCTCAACAAAGTCAATAGAGGAAGGCGGATTCATTTAACGACCAGGCGACGTCTTTCACAATGGTGGCGATCCGCTTAAGGACCGTGCCGAAGGGACTTGACGCCGGTGTATGAAGTGGGGCGAATGTGTAGGCCAGGAACGGACAGTCTCCAAGGGCCGCCCCAGCAACGCTGCCCTGCAGTAGTCTAGAGGGCTGTGAATTCCTTTGGGATTCTGGGAACTGTCACCCCCCCCTACCCCCACCCCCCAAGAGAGAGGTGGCCGTAACTGAGAAGCAGCTGACCCGTTAACGAGCCAATTAAGGTGAAATCGGGAGGCGATGAACGTGAGTTGATTGCTAATGAGAACGGTTAAATATTTCCAACTCGGGGAACGGTGTCAATGGTGCACAGCGAAGAAGGAATTTGTCGTTTTGGGTTTTGTATTTCGAGAGGTGCGTTACCGCTCCCCCCCCCTGCAGCTGGGGCAAACGCATGCACTAACCAGCTTTCCCTAATCCCGGTTTATGTGGGGGGGGGAAACAAGCCAGCATGGACAGGCTGAATTCTAAACCATGGTTTGCTAAGAGGCATTGAAGTTGTGAATGCTCTAACCCTGGAAGTTTTTAAAGAAGATGTTGGATAACTATTCTATTCTATTCTATATTCTATATTCTATATTCTATATTCTATATTCTATCCTAATTTATCCAATAAAGATTGGGACTTTCCTGCCTGTTTTTTTCCTAGAGAAAATTAGATTTTTCTCTCCCCCCTTCTTTCTGCCTCGTTTCGCTCGCTCCTTTGCAAGAAAAAGCTTTCTGTCTGGTTAAATAAATTTTAAAAAGCACAATTGTTTCGCTTTTTCTTTTCTTTCTTTGTGGGTCTGTTTTCCAGGCCTAGAAATAAAACCGGCTTTTATTTTCTCAAGCATTCCAATCTTTTGATGAAGCCCACGCCTTAAATATACCTTGTCTTCCTTCCTTTAATTAAATTTTTCTTCCCTCTCCAGCCTCAAAATCGTCCGGCTTTCGGCCTCGCATACGTTACAGAGTTCAAAGCAAGCCACTCGCAGAGACAGGTTTGCAAAAATTGTATTTGTAAAAGCAGTCCTCGAATTACGACCCCCGCCGAGCATTTCCGTGGCTAAGCGAGACATTGGTGAAGGGAGAGTTGCGTCCCGTTTTACAACCGTTCCCTGCCGCCATTTAAGTGAATCGGTTAGCACAGGGATGTCCTCGATTTTATGACCACAATCGAGCCCAAAATATCTGTGGTTAAGTGAGACATTTGTGAAGTGAGTTTTGTCCCGTTTTACGACCTTCCCTGCCGCCATTGTTTAAGTGAATTGCGGCAGTTAAATCAGTTAGCGCAGGTAAGTCCTCGATTTTATGACCACAATCGAGCCCAAAGTATCTTGAGACATCGGTGAAGTGGATTTTGCCTCATTTTACAACATTTCTTGCCATCGTTGTTAAGCGAATCATTAGTCACATGGTTGTTAAGTGAATCCGGCTTCCTCCTTGACTTTGCTCGTCAGAAGGTCGTAAAAAAAGGGGGGGTTTACCTGACCCCGGGACAGCTGCGATCGTCATAAATACGAGTCAGTTTCCCATTGATTTTGATCCCGTGACCGTGGGGATGTTACAACGGTTGTAAGTCTGAAAAACTGTCCCTTTTTTCCAGCACCGTCGTAACTTTGAATGGTCACTAAACAAACTATCGTAAGTCGGGGACTATCGGTGATGAAGCCACATAACAGCCTGCCTCCGAAGTTGCGAGTTCTCCATCGCTGGAATTTTTCAAGAAAAAGATTTATCCGATGCAGTATGAAGCTGGGCGGGTTGGACTAGAGGACCTCTGAGGTCCCTTCCAACCCGATGAATTTTCCAGTCATTCAAGAAACAGGGGAGAAAAAGGGCGAACCCCGATATCTCCTGCCTGTATTTTATAGTCACTGTTTCTAGTCCGTTTTCCGCCTTGCTCCACAAACTGATCCGTACCCCCAAATTATTACGAATTATTTCATAATCCTGTTTGAGCCAGATGTGGCTCTATAGTTCGTCTTTCTTTTCGGAAGCGTCTTGGGGGGGCTTTTCGGGTTCTTCGGGGTTCGGTCCCATTTCGGGGAGCAATTGGGTTTCTTCAGTTTTGAAAAGCATCCGAATCAGGTCATCGGCTTGGATTCTTTCCTGAGGGAAAAAGCGGGAATGAAAGAGAGAAAATGGGGCGTCCATTTTAATTAAATACAGCCTGAGGGGGGTCATTTTACAACCCGTGGACTTCAACTCCCAGAATTCCTCTGCCGGCATCCATTTTGACAGCCCCTGCGAGGTAGGCCAGGCCGAGAACCACGGAAGGCCGGGTTGACAGAAATGTTTATAAAAGTCAAATAAACTCTAAATAAATAAACTTTATAATAAACTTATAAAAGTCAAATCAACTAAATTCGTTGATGCCACTAAAGCCTAGGGCCATAAAAAAAAAAAAAAAAACTGAGGAGAATTTTTTTTAACTGTGGGCCATTTTGTTCTTTTTTCATTTGAAAAATCATTTTATTCAATATTTATGAAGAAACTAAAAGCCAACCCAAAGAAAAGGAACAAATGAAATAAATGAGAGAGAAAAGAAAGAAGAAACAGAAAGGGAAACAAAAGGGGCTTTTTGGGGGGAGGGGGAGCCTTGAGCAGATTTTTGGGGTGCAGGGAGAGTCGGGGACACTGAGGACTAGCTACTTGTGACCTTCCAATAAAGAGAGGGGAAAAAAAGGTAAAGAAGAAATAGAAAAGAAAAAAAAAGGTGGGGTTTTTTTTTGGAGCAAAGTTTGGGGGTGCATGGGAAGGAGGAGGCAGGAATATTGAGGACTAGTTACATGGGACCCTTCCAATGAAGACAGCAAAAAGAAAGAAAGAAAGAAAGAAAGAAAGAAAGAAAGAAAGAAAGAAAGAGAGAGAGAGAGAGAGAGAGAAAGGGGAAATATGTGGGGGGGGGGTTTGCAGCCCTGAGCAAATTTTTGAAGTGCAGGCAGACATTGAGGACTAGCTACTTGAGGACTAGCTACTAACCCTAACCCTCCAATAAAGAGAGTGGGGGAAAGGTAAAGAAGAAATAGAAAAGAAAAAAACATGGGGGGGGGTTGGAGCAAAGTTTGAGAGTGCATAGGAAGGAGGAACCAGGAACATTGAGGACTAGTTACATGGGACCCTCCCAATGAAGACAGCAAAAAAAGAAGAAAGTAAGTAAAAAATAAATAGAAAGGAAAAAAAAGTGGGTGTTTTTTTTTGCAGCCCTGAGCAAATTTTTGAAGAGCAGGCAGAGGAAGTTCCAAGAGACATTGAGGACTAGATCCTTGAGCTCACTTTTTTCTACAGAGGTGAATGCGTGAACTAAATATTTTTTTTAAAAAAATGTCTCTTTCAATAGTTAAAAAAAATAATCTCTTTTTCCTGAGCTTCACACAGCACGAAACCCGCTTTCAGTCTCCTCTGGAGCTTTCATTCCCCAAAATAAATAAATAAATAAAATCCCAATTTTGAGATGGTGGCCATTTTGACTTTTTTGCCCCGCCTCTGGGTCCGAGGAGGCGCAGCACTCACCCGTTCGCTATGGCGGGGGTCCAGGGTAAACCACAAGGCGATGGCGCATCGCTGGCCCTTCGTGACGGCTTTGACGCCGTGGGGGTTTTCCGATCCGGCCGAGAAGCCCACCGCCCGGCCGCACTGGGGCTTCACCTCTGCCTGGAGAGCAAATTGGGGTGAGGAGGGGAGAGACCCCCCCCCAAAACCATTTAGTATATAATCTCCCCTCCCCAAAATCCATCAAAGCGGCCTCGGGGCTTTCTCCCAACCGATGTCGGCCTTGCGCTAAATTTCTGTGGTTAAGGAAGACGTTTGTTCTCGTTTTACGACTCCTCTTGCCGCCGTCGTTAAGCGAATCCTTGCATTTTTTTAAAAAAAATCATCGGGGCTCTTTTTTTTTCAGTGCCGTGGTAACTTCGAACGGTCACTAAATGAACTCTTTGTAAGTGGAGGACTAAAAGCCGGATGCAAATAATAAATTAAAATTTATTGGCTACGCCCCATAACTAGAAATTGAGAAATTGAGAGACTTACTGTGACGGTCGTGGCATCCATCTCGGTAAAATAAAACTCCCCACCTTCGAAATCTTCGTTTAAATAAAGGATGGCGCTACAAAGCAATAAATAACTTTTATTTACTAGGAGATTAAACCCCGAGGAACAAAATAATAATAATAATAATCTGATTTTTTCCTTGGCTTAAGCAACCGGATCCTAAAAGGAGGAGCTTCCAAATCTTTCTGGGAAAAATCAGGTTGTTTTAATTGAGATGGTGAAAATGGACAGTGAGGAACAACAATGTAAATGGATGAAAAAGATGCTAGTCCTCAATGTTCAAGGCAGATTAAATTGATCGTGTCTTGGCTTTCTGCAGTAGGGGAAGACGGCACCTTCAGACGCCCAGCCAAACTCACCTGTAATCCCGAAAGGTGTACGCCGGGGGCTCCTTGACACACACCATGGCCTCGGCGTTGAGAATGCAGTTGTCGACGTGCACGGGGTGGCTGGGATCCATTCGGCCCCCCTGTTTATCTAGGAGAGAGAGAGGGGCAGATCCCTTTTGATCTCCTCCCCCCAGTTCAATTTGGTCTTCCCTTCCCCAAATTGGGGCATCCTGGGAGTTACAAATCCCACCCACCCAACTGGAGGAAGTCCAAATTAAACCCTGTTGGGTTAAAAAACAAAACAGAACCTGAAAACGCAGCTAGTTTCTAGTCCTCATGGCGAGCTTGGAATTCTGAGATGAGCGAGGAAAAAACTTGTGGGGGGGATTCTTAACCCCTTTCTACTCTCTCTCAGCCTCAACCTGCTGGTCTTTGTGTCTTCCAGGTTTAAAATCAATGGTCTCCACACCCCCACGCCCCCCCCCGTTGTCCACCTGCTTACCTGCAATGGCCGTCCGGCACACCAGGTGAGAATAGGAGAAATGCAGAGGGACGTCGAGGCGGAAATAAGACTCCATCACGTGACGGACTTTCTCCGTGGCGTTGTAGTACAGGTACGCGCTCGGCATGGGGACTCGGCCTTCCTGCCCTAGCTGCGGGCGAGACCCACACGGAGGAGATGAAACCCACGGTCACCCCCAAATTCGAGACCACGATCTCCCACCGTTCGACGACGAAGGGGTTTTAGAAATCAATTTAAAAAACCACTGAGAATATATATATATATTTTTAAAAAAGAAGCTGCCTTCCACGAGCTTTGGATTTGTCTTTCAAAAGGCTAGTCCTCATGAAGTCTCCAGCTTTGGACAAAGGGGTTGGTCTAGAAGACCTCGACGGACCCTCCCAGCGTTTCTATGATTCCACAGCTTCCCAAATCCCAGATCTTTTGCTCTTTTTGGGGGGAAGGTGTTTACCTTGAGGGCTTTCAGGACAGTCACCCCTAAAAAAGTCTCACTCGGCGTGTGGGGTGAGGTTTGGCCCCTATAACCGTCCCCTGCGGAAGCCGCTGCCTGCAATTCAAAGAGGATTAAATTAAAATAAGGACACCGATCAAATTCGTTCCGGTTTCTTGGCATGATTGAGAAAAGTTCTAATATTTAACTTAAAAAGTTAAAGTTCTAATATTTCACCGCTAATCGTATTTTTATGATTTGGCTCTTGGTGCAGGGAAGAGAAGGCAAATGCTGCCATCTAGTGGTCGAAACAAACTGCCATAGGTTGTATGGGGAAGTCAGTCCTCAAACATACGACGGCAATTGAGCCCAAAAACTTAGACATTTGCTAACTGAGGGTTTTTTTGGTCCCTCACTCGCTCACCGAACCACGAAACGTGGTTTCCCGAAGCAAAGTGGGAGCTCTACACAACTTATTAGTGTAATCTGGGCAGGTATCACAAAGCCCATGTTGCTTTACTCACATTTGTCAGGGTTTGCAAAGTCCGGCACTCTTCTTCGGATAAGACTCCGTCTACCACCACGCGCTGAGACCCGTTCAGGGTTTTGGAGTTCATGGTAACCCTGAGCCCATCGTACAACAACGGGCCCCCTGCAGGTTGGCGGGAAAGAAATCCTCGCGTTACGACGGGTTCACTTAGCGACACATTCCGAAGTGACAACGGCCCTGAAAAAAAGGGACTGAGGAACGTTTTTTCCACATGTACGACCGTCGACGCCTCCCCCCCCCCACGGTTGTGTGAACGAAATTCCCGACAGTTGGCAATTGGTTCACACTTATGACCGTTGTGGTGTGATTCCCCATTTTTGTGACCTTCCGACAGATTCGCTTTAACGACCGTGTTGCTAAACTTAAAAGTCAATGGGGGGCAGCCGGGTTTGCTTAAAGGAGCGTGGCAAAAGAGATCGTGCAATCAGGCCCGAATCGCTTAGCAACCGACAATGGGAGTCCCAGTCTTGATGATGGTCGTAACTCGAGGACTAGCGGTCTGCCTTCCAGTGGCTTTTTTTTGGATTTAGCAGGAAGGCTTCGGCATCTCCTTACCTGAATAATAATCTGGTGCTACCATTAATCGTTCGAAATAACAATAGCCCTGAAAAAATGGGACTTAGGATCATTTTCCACACTTACGACCGTTGCAGGATCCCCGTGGCCACGGGATCAAAATTCAGGACGCTTTGCAACCAACTCATATTTATGACGGTTGCAGTCACGCCATCCCCTTTGGCGACCAAAAGTCAAGGGGAAAAACAGATTCACTTAATAACCATGGGACTAACTTAACAACTGCTGTGCTTCACTCTACAACCGGGGGAAGAAATGTCGTAAAAAAGGGGCAGGATTCCTTGAACCGCTGTCTCGCAGCGGGAATTTGAGGCTCAATGCTGGTCATAAATCAAGAACTAGCTGCATTTCCCTGATTTTTTTTCCCCCCACCTTCGTGCGTCTTCCGAGACATTCAGATCCCAATTTTTGAGAGCTCACCTTCCCGTACGAATTTATTCATGTCGGAAGATTCTTTGGTCTTCTCCTCCACCAGATTCTCGATCTCCTTCATGAGATTACCGATCTCCTCTGAGATCCGGGCCGCCGTCTCACGTTCAACCCTGCAGAGACGCAGAAGGCAGGATCGTCATTCTGCGAGGGAGGGATTTTTTTTCCCCTGCAATTCAGGTATATTTTTTTTTCTGCAATTCCAGAGAAACTTATTCTGTCCGATTTACTCGTCTCTATTTTAGCTACATTATTTGCTGTGATTTTTAATCCTGGATTAGTCCTCGATTTATAGCGATTTGTTTATGTCTTACTTTTGTTTTTCCTGAAGCCTCTTGGGAATCACGTCTTCCGGAGTCCACGTGTCCTTCAAAACAAGAGAAGGACGGTAAAAAAAAAAAAATAGCCACACCATTCTGGTCCAATGTTCCTCAACTATGACAGCTTTAAAGATGGGTGTACTTCATTTCCCAGAATCCCCCAGCCAGCAGGCTTTAAGACGCTTCAATGGATTTTAAATTTTGATATGGATTTTAAATTGATACATTTTAAACTATGGGCCAAATTTAATTATTTTAAATCTATTTTTAATCGCACTTTATGTATAAATGTTTTATTTTGGCTGTTCACCGCCCTGAGTCCGAAAGGAGAGGGGCGGTATAGAAATTCGAATAATAAATAAATAAATAAATAAATAAATTCCCAGAATTCCCCAGCTAGCATACTTTAAGTTGGGTGGACTTCAATTCCCAGAATCCCCCAGCCAGCAGGCTTTAAGACGCTTCAATGGATTTTAAATTTTGATATGGATTTTAAATTGATAAATTTTAAACTATGGGCCAAATTTAATTATTTTAAATCTATTTTTAATCGCACTTTATGTATAAATGTTTTATTTTGGCTGTTCACCGCCCTGAGTCCGAAAGGAGAAGGGCGGTATAGAAATTTGAATAATAAATAAATAAATAAATAAATAAATAAATTCCCAGAATTCCCCAGCTAGCATACTTTAAGTTGGGTGGACTTCAATTCCCAGAATCCCCCAGCCAGCATGCTTTAAGATGGGTGGACTTAAATTCCCAGAATCCCCCAGCCAGCATGCAATGCTGGGACCCGTCTTAAACCCTAAATTTGAACCTTAGCATTTTCTCAAAATTGTTCTGCTTTGCTTTGAATTTCAAGTTCAACCTTGTGGGTCTTAAGCCACTATCAAAAATTACTATTTCAGGGCACAGCACAACAACACAAACACAATCACAAAGAAATGCACACAACCCTCTTAAATCTGTCTATCCTGTTTTCAGATTTTGCTTACCGGGTCGATGAAAGGAATGCCAAAGGTGTCATAGGCAAAATAGAGCAATTCCTTCTCTAAAAGACTCCGCCGGTGATACATCTGGACTTTCTACAGCGGGGGAAAAAATGCAAGAAAAATGCTCAAAATTAGAGAAACGAGATCAGATCAATTCATTTACCTAACGGGATGTCCAAAACGGTGATTTTTAAAAAATTTTTTTTACAACCTTGGCCCCTTTAAGACATCTGGACTTCAATTCCCAGAATGCTTTGCTGGCTGGGGAATTCTGGGAGTTGGAAGTCCAGACGTGTTAAAGGGGCCAAAGTTGAAAAACACTAGTCCAGAATGTCGCACAAAACTTGGTGGAGCTTAAAAAATAAAACAACACACACACACACACAGAATCATCTCAAATCTTTTGATTCGGCAGGCTTTGCAAGGCTCTAGCCCTCATCGTCAGTTGTTATGTTGCTGGCTACATTGAGAACTCAAGTTATATAAATTCCTCTTCTGGCCGCAAGTGATAAAGGGGACGTGGCAAGGGGACGGAATGAGGCTTGCTGTCATAATTTTATAGCATAAAATAAATGATATAATAATATTGTTTTTTTTTTTATATCAAGCTACGGAGATTCAGAGTTTGGCTTATTCTGGACAATAGGTTTAGGGCCTATTTCTGTTTGGAGAAAAGTACATTTTTTTTTTCCCAAGTACATTTGGATTTCAGCGGGCTGGACTAAATGATCTCCAGGGTCCCTTCCGACCTTACCATCCTATGCCTCAATCTGGATTCCTGCCCTGAGCACAGGGCTGGATTAAATGATCTCCCAACAAGGTTCCCTCTAATCTTATCTTCTTCTAGAACCCAACACTTCAATTTGATATCCCTGCCCCTGGGCACAGGGGCTGGACTAGATGGTCTCCCAGGTTCCCGTCCCCCCCCCCACCAACCTTATCATCCTATGCTTCAGTTTGGATTCTTCTCCTCCTCCTCAACACGGGGGCTGGTCTAGATGACCTCTGGGTACCCTTTCCACATTTTACACGAAAAAGTAACGGCGTATTTCGGGGCCCGCCGAGACCCGTGGCCAGCTCACTCTCTTCCAATGTGTGTGTGTGTGGGGGGACCCTCTTCCTCCTGCTAAGACCCCCCCCTTTTTTTCAAGTCTGGGGGTGGGTAAGTGAGTGGGTAGTGGGGAGAAATCTTGCCTCTCGGGGCCTGATGCGCTCGGCCAGGTTCTCCCCCAACATGGCCGCGTAATAAGCCTCGTTCTGCTTCATCACGTTGTCGTTCGGGAAGAAGAGGAGGTAGGTTTTCGCGCATTCGACCGCCTTCCCGTAGTGGCCACCTGTGACGGGATGGAAGGAGAGACTGGAAATATATCAAAATAACCACGATAATCATCAGAACTGCCCTATATACGCAGCTCTTAGGTCCTCGGTTAGGAGACGAATGGTTAAAAGCTTTTAACCTTCCCAGGAGGTGAATCGAAAGGAAGATTAAATATATAATAACGACATAATAATATATATATATATATATATTCAGACGTTAAGATTCATTTAACGACTTGGGGCAAGAAAGGTTTTAAAATGGGGCAAAAGTCACTGGACAACTGTCTTGCTTAGTGACAGAAATTTCGGGCTCAACTGTGGTCATAAATAGAAATAGAAGGGAAGGGAAGGGAAGGGAATGGAATAGAGTAGAGTAGAGTAGAGTAGAGTAGAGTAGAATAGAATAGAATAGAATAGAAGATAGGATAGGATAGGATAGGATAGGATATAGAATAGAATAGAATAGAATAGAATAGAATAGAATAGAATAGAATAGAATAGAATAGAATAGAAGATAGGATAGGATAGGATAGGATATAGAATAGAATAGAATAGAATAGAATAGAATAGAATAGAATAGAATAGAAGATAGGATAGGATAGGATATAGAATAGAATAGAATAGAATAGAATGTAGATTGGAATAGAAGAATAGAATAGAATAGAATAGAATAGAATAGAATAGAATAGAATAGAATAGAAGATAGGATAGGATAGGATATAGAATAGAATAGAATAGAATAGAATAGAAGAATAGAATAGAATAGAATAGAATAGAATAGAATAGAATAGAATAGAATAGAATGTAGATTGGAATAGAAGAATAGAATAGAATAGAATAGAATAGAATAGAATAGAATAGAATAGAATAGGAATAGGATAGGATAGGATATAGAATAGAATAGAATAGAATAGAATAGAAGAATAGAATAGAATAGAATAGAATAGAATAGAATAGAATAGAATAGAATAGAATATAGATTGGAATAGAAGAATAGAATAGAATAGAATAGAATAGAATAGAATAGAATAGAATAGAATAGAAGATAGGATAGGATAGGATATAGAATAGAATAGAATAGAATAGAATAGAATAGAAGATAGGATAGGATAGGATATAGAATAGAATAGAATAGAATGTAGATTGGAATAGAAGAATAGAATAGAATAGAATAGAATAGAATAGAATAGAATGGAATGGAATGGAATGGAATGGAATGGAATGGAATGGAATGGAATAGAATAGAATAGAATAGAATAGAATAGAATAGAATAGAATAGAATAGAATAGAATAGAATAGAATCAAGGACTGTCTATATTCTTGTTTCTCCAGCAACTCTGGAGATCATCCCAAATATTTCATTGAAATGACCTCTGCGGGAAAGAAACCACCATATCCCGAAACTCAGTTTAAAGGCAGCCAACTTCCCCGAGAGCCCCCTGGAAGACAAAGCGGGGTGCAATTAACGGGATCCCCTCCCTCCCTCCCTCCCCAGCCCCACGTACTGTTGTAATAAGCGAACTGCAGGTAGTTGAAATGAGACGGAAGGAAATCTTCGTTGGGTTTCTCCTGCCCGGCTTCTTGCGCCAACTCGGTCACGCATCCTTGCTTGCAGCTCAGCACTTGGGTGTAATGATCTGCCCCCCAAGAAGATCCGAGAAAAAGAGGGATTATTCACAGGAAGCCATAGCGATCGAGGGTTCGGGCATCGCTCGAAGACAGAGGAGCGTTTTCCCGACTTTAAGACGGGTGGACTTCAACTCCCAGAATTCCCCAGCCAGCATTGGTGGACTTTGACTCCCTGGAATCCCAAGTCAGCCTATTTGGACTTCACTTCCCAGAATTCCCCAGCCAGCAGCACGTGTAAACTTCAGTTCCCAGAATTCCCTAGCTAGCACACATTGGATTTCGACTCCCAGAATTCCCCAGCCAGCATCTCTGGATTTCAACTTCCTGAAATGCCTATTTTGACTTCAACTCCCAGAATTCCCCAGCCAGCATTGGTGGACTTTGACTTCCTGGAATCCCAAGTGAGCCTATTTTGACTTCACTTCCCAGAATTCCCCAGCCAGCAGCACGTGTGAACTTCAGTTCCCAGAATTCCCTAGCTAGCACACATTGGATTTCGACTCCCAGAATTCCCCAGCCAGCATGTCTGGATTTCAACTTCCTGGAATCCCAAGTATTTTGACTTCAGTTCCCAGAATAACTTCAACTCCCAGAATCCCCCAGACCAGCATGGCTGAACTTCAAGCCCCAGAATTCCCTAGCTAGCACATACAGGTAATTCCTTGACGTACAACAGTTGGTTTGGTGAGCAAATTTCTCACTTAGCAACGTAAATGCTCCGCTTAATTGTGGTCGTACGTCGAGGACTAGCTGTATGGACTTCAGCTCCCAGAATTCCCTAGCCAGCAATCTATGGGTTTCATTTTCTGGTTGACTTCCAATGTCATTTCTCCTTTTTTTATGGATTTTGGAGGTTTCATATGCTGCCCAGAATCCAGAATCTGCTCGTAATCAATTTAAATGAATAAATTAAATCCCAGAATTCCTTAGTCACGAGTCCTCAACTCCCAGAATTCCCCAGCGGCGTAGACCTCTCCTCACCCTTTCCATACGAGGCCCTGTTTTCATTTCCAGTTAGAAAAGCATCTTTGTTTTCAAATATTAAAACACCAAGACCAGGAAAGACTTCTCCTAATGGAATGAGCTAAAGAGAACCTCCCTATCCAGGAGCAGAATATCTGAAAACCAGTTTTTCTAAACCTTTGCGGGCTGGACCGAGTCAGGCAATCCCAGATACATTGTCTTCTTCTCCCACCGGGGGTCCCACGGCTTCCCGCCGAGCCTTATGGGACTTGTTGTCCCCACTCTTTCCAAAGCAACTCACCGATAAACGCTTCATAGAAATCGGCGTTGTAGTCGAGGTAGTTGTAACCATCGTGGTTGTACGGCTCTTCACAGAGCGCCCGGCACTTGATGTCAGCTGCCCAGTACTCGTCCAGCGCCTTCTCCAGGTGCAAAATGGCTGCCTGAGGATTCTCCTCCGTGTAGTAACTCACACCCAGGTGGAAATCTTGCTAGAGAGAGAGAGAATCGGAGAAGACAGCATTAAACTCCAGAAAGCAAAACCGAATCATCTTAGCATCTCCAACTATTAATTATAAGTAGTCCTGGACTTACGTCCATCGTCGAGACCGTCGCTAGGCAGTACGGTCGTTAAGAGAGCCACTCCTTCTTGCCATAGTCGTTAAGCAAATTCAGCTATATTTATCAGATTACAAATGGTGATCATTTAATCTCCGGGATATTGCGACCGTCGCAAACACAGGAAGCCCTCAATTTACAACTGCAGCTGAGGCCAACATTTATGTTGTTAAGCGAGACATTTGTTAGGTGAGTTTTGGCTTTTTTGGGGGGGCCACCGTTGTTAAGTGAATCACGTCAGTCGTTAAGTAAGCAACACAATGTTGTCCTGGGGGTCACGCAATCCGCTTTTGAGACCTTCCAACCACCAAAGTCAACAGGGAAGCCCGATTCACTTAACAACCAGTGATTCGCTTAACGGCTGTGGCGAGGAAGGTCGTAAAATGGATCAACGCTCACTTAACGACTGTCTTGCCTAGCAACAGACGTTTCGGGCTCAACGGTGGTCGTGACAACCGTCTTTGCGCTTCCGAAACATAACATACATGTATACATATGCGCATGTTTATATGTCTGTGTGCGTATCTATTATACGGCGCACATATTTATAAGTTGCAAAACCACGCAAAATCGCTTAGGTGAGATGGGCGGTGTTGCAGCAATTTAATAAATGTTATTAAATACAATAAAACATTTGATTCGAGGTCACAAAAGGCTTAAATTGAATAAAGGCAGGCCTTTTTTGATTTTCTTTCTTGCTTTTTTAAGTTTCTCGTTTATTTTATCATTTTGCACATTCTTTTTCTCTCTTTGGCTGCAGTTGCTTTAATTTAAGCAACTACTTTTAAACAATTTTAAAAGTACAATTTTTACTTTTAATTTAAACAATTACTTCACAATTTAAAAAAAGAGAGAGATTAAAAAAAAAAAAAACCGGTATATTAAATTGTGACGCTTCCTCCTTACCATGTGGGGCTTAGCCTCCAAATCGACAAAATCTGAATCTTTGACTCCAACCATCATCTGATAATAAGCCAGGTTTTGCCGCATCTCGGCGTGGTCCGGATTGGCCGAGAAGAAGGTTTGGGCGGCTGCCACTGCCTTGTTCAGCTTGTTCATCTGAAGAAGAAGAAAAATTCAAATTTTTGGGGGAGGCCCTCCCCAAAAACGTAGCCCTGGCATCTTTGGAAAAAGTGCCACTGCATTTGGATTAAATTAGAGAGAGAGAAAGAGAGAGAGAAAGAGAGAAGGAGGGAGAGAGTGAGAAAGAGAGAAAGAAAAAAAGAGGGAGGGAGAGAGAAAGGGAAAGTGGGAGGGAGAGAAAGAAAGAGAAAGAGAGAGAGAGAAAGAAAGAGAGAGAAAGAAACAAAGGGAGAGAGGGAGAGAGAAAAGGAGAGAGAACGGAAATGAAAGAAAAGGAAGAAAAGAGAAAGTTGAGGAAGGAATAAGGGGGAGAGAAGAAGGGAAGGTAGAGAGAAGAATAGAAAATGGAAAAAGGAGAGAGTGAGAAAAAAGGAATGAATGACCACAAAGAAAAGAAAAGAGGAAGCTGAAGAAGGGATGAGGGGGAGTGGAGGAGAAGGGAAGGTAGAGAAGGATAGAAAATGGAAAGAGAGGGGGAAAAGAGAAAAGAAAGAAAAGAAGTCTTCTGGAGACTCTCCTGAGTCTTCGGAGAGGGGCGGCATATAAATTGAATTAATTAAATTAAATTAAAGAAAAGAGAGAGGAGGAAGGGATAAGGGGGAGAGGAGGAAACTGGAAGGTAGAGGAGGATAGAAAATGGAAAAAAGGAGGATAGAAAGTGAATGAGAAAAAAAACGGAATGAATGACCAGAAAGGAAAGAGGAAGCTGAAGAAGGGATAAGGGGGAGAGGAAGAGACTGGAAAGAGAAGGATAGGAAGAGGAAGAGAAGGATAGGAAACGGAAAGAGAGAGAAAGAAAAAAAAAAGGAAAGGAAGAAATGAAAAGAGGAAGCTGAAGAAGGGATAAGGAGGCGACGGGAAGATAGAGGAGAGAAGGAGAGAAAACGGAAAAAGGAAGAGAAAAAGAGAGCGGGGGGGGGGGGGGAGAGGGAAAAGAAACAAAAAAGAGAAAGTGGAAAAAAAGGAAGAGGAGGGGGGAGCCTGATCTGAAAACTTTCCATTTTCCACTTCGACAGCGCCCCCTCCCCAAAATCAGCCAAGGCCCAGAAAGCGGGGGGAAGGCCCAACAATCCCCCCCCACTAGAGAAACTCGAGCCCACTCCCCACATCTTCCACCCTTCTTTAATCTCCCCCCCCCTCACATCCCAGCATCTTCGCTAAAAGCCATGCACGACACCCAGGGGGAAAGTGGGGGCAAAGCCCCCCGCCCCATATTTCTTTTCCACCCCGCGCTCCTCTCTTCTGAGCGGGCCAAGGCAGGCGGGCGGCGCCGAGACCCCGCGGAGAGAAGGCGCAAGCAGACGTGGCACACGGAGGGGGGGGGAGGAGAGCGGAGCGGGTGGGGCTCCCACGACCCCCCCACCCCTCTAAAGTTCCCCCTTCCCCCCTTTTTTCCCCGATGGCGTGCTAGGGATGGCGAGCAAGCCCCTTCCCCAATTTTGATGGGCACCACGGTAAAGAGGGAGGAAAGAGGCAAAAGATGCCAGGGGGGCAGCAGAAGGCGGTGCCAAGTGAGGGGAGGGGGCACATTGGAGGGGGGGAAGCCTCCCCAGCCCCCCACCCACCCAAATTCCCCCCCCTCCTTCCCCGATTGCAATTTGAATGGCGGGGGGGAGCACAGCAGTAGAAGAAAGAGAGGGAGGGAAGAGGAAAAAACATGCCAAGGTGCCCACTTTGGTGCCAACCGAGGGGGGCATCTTAGGGGTGGGCGAACCCCCAAATTTCCCCCCCTTCCCCGATTGTTATTTGGATGCCAAGGGGGCACAACAGTAGAGGAAAAAGACGTGGGGAGGGGAGAGGGAAACCATGGCAAGGGGGCAGACGGCGGTGCCAACCGAGGAAAGGGGGCACTTTGGGGGGGGAGAGAGACCCTCCCCAGCCCACCCACTCCCCCAAATTTCCCCCCCTTCCCCGATTGCGATTTGGATGCCAAGGGGGCACAACAGTAGAGGAAAGAGACGCGGGGAGGGGAGAGGGAAACCTTGCCAAGGGTGCCAACCGAGGTGGGGCACATTGGGGGGGGGAGAGAGACCCTCCCCAGCCCACCCACCCCCAAATTTCCCCCCTCCCCATTCCCCGATTGCGGTAAGAGGAAAGAGGCGCGGGGAGGGAAGAGGGAAAAAGATGCCAAGGGGGCACCACAAGGCGGTGCCAACCGAGGAGGAGGGGGCATATTGGGGGGGGGGGGTAGAGAGACCCTCCCCAGCTCACCCACCTCCCCAAATTCCCCCATTTCCCCGATTGCGGCTTGGATGGCCCAGCAGGAGAGGAAAAAAGGCGCAAAGGATGCCCAGGTGCCCACTTTGGTGCCATCCAAGGGGGGGGCGATCCTCAACTCGCCCACCCACCTTGAAATAGGCCACTTGGAGGTAGTTGTAAGGGCTGCGCTTGCGGAACTCCAGCTCCACCTCCTCGCCCAGCTGGTAGCGAGACGGGCCGGCCGGCAGGCAGCGGCGCAGGCAGGCTGCGCGGCGCAGGAGCTGCTGGAAGAAGCGCAGGTCGCCCAACGGGCGGGCATGCTCCTGCGCGGGATCCTGGGCCGTGTGGTTGGCCGCGCAGCCCGAGCGGCAGCCGGCCAGGCGTTCCCGGTGCGCGGCCCTCGCCCGCAGCGCCCGCTCCATCTGTAGGATCACGCCGGGCCAGTCCTCGCGGTTGTAAGCCTCCACCCCGGCCGCTAGCAACTCGTCGGCCGGGCGGAGCTGCTCCGGTGACGCCGACCCCGCCGGGCGCGATCCATCGGCGGGGCTCAGGATCGCGCGCAGGAGCAGCGCAAGCAGCAAACGCAGCATCTTTCGGCGATGAGAATGCCCGGGCTGGCAGGCTGGAACCCCGCCCCACTAAAGGCCACGCCCATTCTCCGGCCACGCCCCCTCTCGCTCTGAGCACCACGTGGCGAGGGGAACCTCCGCTCTCTCTCTCTCTCTCACGGGTGGACTACAATTCCCAGAATTCCACAGCCAGCCATGCTGGCATGGGGGGATTCTGGGAGTTGTAGTCCACCCGTCTTAAAGGGGCTGCCGTGTTTTAAAACTTGGTGGGAGGATCCTAATCGAGTTTTCTCTATCTTAAGTCTGCTCAACACTGTCTAACTAGTTACTAAGTCTGCATTATTAAATATTAATAAATCTTCTCATCGTTCCTATCACCCATCTCCTCCCGCTTACGACTGCGTGACTGTAACCTTATTGCTGGGACCCCTTACGATTTATATTGACCGTTTCCTAATATGATTTGATTGCTGATTTGTATCCTATGACTATCATTAAGTGTTGTACCTTAGGATTCTTGACGAACGTATTTTTTCTTTTATGTACAATAGGATAGAATAGTGGATAGAATAGAATAGAATAATAAAATATAGAAAGAAGTGTAGAGTAGAGTAGAGTAGAATAGAATAGAATAGAATAGAATAGAATAGAATAATGGAAAATAGGAATAGAATAGAATAGAATAGAATAGAATAGAATAGAATAGAATAGAATAGAATAGAATAATGGAAAATAGGAATGGAATAGAATAGAATAGAATAGAATAGAATAGAATAGGAAGTAGAGTGGACAGAATAGAATAGAATAGAATAATGGAAAATTAGAATAGAATAGAATAGAATAGAATAGAATAGAATAGAATAATGGAAAATAGGAATGGAATAGAATAGAATAGAATAGAATAGAATAATAAAATATAGAAAGAAGAGAAGTGTAGAATAGAATAGAATAGAATAGGAAGTAGAGTGAATAGAATAGAATAGAATAGAACAGAGAAGAGAGTAGAAGAGAAGAGAAGAGGAAAGAAAGAGAAAGAGAATGAAGAGGAGAGACTAAGAAGAGTAGAGTAGAGCAGAATAATAGAATAGAATAGAACAGAATAGAATAGAATTCTTTATTGATCAAGTGTGATTGGACACACAAGGAATTTATAGAATATAATAGAATAACAGAGTTGGAAGGGACCTTGGAGGTCTTCTAGTCCAACCCCCCAAGGATAACTGTCTGTTTAATTTTCCTATATTTAATATATTTAGCTTTCACGTTTTTTTTTTTTTTTTTTTGCTGATAACTCCTTTAAATAAATTCTTAGACCTTACAAAAAGTTTTACATTTAACACACTGGGATGCTTTTCATGCCAAGAGTCTCCCTATTCTCCCTTTATACTAACTCTATTCTTCCTCTACCTCTACCCCTTTTTTATCTCTATACTCTCGCTATGACGCATGCGCTCTCGCCTCGCCTTTTCTCTCTCACCTCATTGGGCCAGATGCCCCGCGGGCTCCTCCTCCTCCCAGAACGCATCTCTTTGCTCATCCGTCCAATGAAAAGCCGCCTCCCATCCTTCCGCCCCGCCCTCTAACCAATAGGAAAGTCGAGTGGGCGTGGCCTATGCCGCCCTCCCAGCATGGCGGCCAGAGAAGGGGGGGATTTCGCCGCCGTTCCGGTTCCTCCGCCGGTGAGCTCGGCGTTGGTCGGGCGGGGGGTTCCCGAGGGTCTCCAGCTGACCCCCGCGGCTCGAAAGTCGCAGCCGTCGGACCTGGTGGCTTTAGCCGAGCAAGTGGGGAAGGTGAGCGAGAGTGCCTCTGGGCATGTGCAGAGTGCCAAGGGATCTCAGCCCCCGGGTGTGTCCAGAATGACCCCAGGGGCCACCTAGCCTCTTAGGAACAAGGAATTCCAACGATAGGAGTCTATTATTTGGGGTTAATGAAGAAAAAAAAATCCTAATTTTACGAATATAATATAGGAGAGGCCCCCCCTGGGTGCTGGGCTGCCGTTTTACATGTTTAGGTTTTGTATTTATATATTAGTTGTTTGCATCATCATTATCATTATTATTATTTTATTCATTAAACATGAAACTCAACCGGACATTTAAAAATGCATCACAACTATCATTGTTTGGTCCTGATGGTTGATACGGGTTGCTGTCAGCATCCCAGGTATCAACCAAGTACATCATCATCATCATTATTATTATTATTATTATCTTCATTAAACATGAAACTCAGTCAACTGAACATTCAAAAATGCATCACAAATACCATTGACTGGTGCTAATGGTTGATACAGGTTGCTGCCAGCGTCCTAGGTCTCAACCAAGTACCTTAAGCTGATGATGATTATTATTATGATTATTATTATTATTATTATTATTATTATTATTATTTACTTTATTCATTAAACATGAAACTCAAGTCAACTGGACTTTCAAGAATGCATCACAAATACCATTGACTGGTGCTGATGGTGGTTGTAACAGTAACAGAGTTGGAAGGGACCTTGGAGGTCATCTAGTCCAACCCCCTGCTCACGCAGGAGACCCTCTACTAGGGATTCGAACCGCCGAACTGCCGATTCACAGTCTGGGGGGGCTGGTAAATATAAGTCCTAACCAAGGACCTAAGAGCTGTTAAGGTAACGTCTGAATAGGTATATAGGGAGTTCCTAGTAATGTGGTCTTTTGCTTATTAGGTATCTAGGGAGTTCCTAGTAAGGTGGTTTTTTGCTTATTATTATTATTATTATTATTATTATTATTATTATTATTATTATTAGTAGTAGTAGTAGTAGTATATGTATAATCAAGGCTACGGTTTTCCCAGTTGCAATGGATGGCTGTGAAAATTGGACCATAAGGAAGGTTGAGCGCCAAAGAATGGAGGCCTTTGAACTCTGGTGCTGGAGAAGACTCCTGTGAGTCCCTTGGACTGCAAGGCGATCCAACCGGTCACTCCTAGAGGAGATCAACCTTGACTGCTCTCTAGAAGGCCAGATCCTGAAGAGGAAACTCAAATCCTTTGGCCACCTAATGAGAAGGAGAGAAGAGCCTAATGCTGGAAACGATGGAGGGCAAAAGAAGAAGGAGACGGCAGAGAAGGAGGTGGCCGTATGGAGTAACCGAAGCAGTCGGCGTGAGCTTAAATGGACTCCGGAGGATGGTAGAGGAGAGGAAGGCCTGGAGGAACGTGGTCCATGGGGTCGCGATGGGTTGGACACGACTTCGCATCTAACAACAACAATTAGTAGTATTTGTATTGTTATTGATTTAATCTTCAATTCGATTCACAGTCTGGGACTTAACAGTTCAAGTCCTAACCAAGGACCTACGAGCTGTTCAGGTAACGTCTGAGTATATAGGCATTATATTATTATTAAAGATTTAATCTTCAATTCGATTCACAGTCTGGGATTAGTTAAAAGCAATAGGAAGTCCTAACCAAGAACCTAAGAACTGCTGTTGTCATTAATTTATTTTGTATGCCATCCCGAGTTGCTGTTTCAGAAGCCGCCTTTTTGTCTCCCCAGGCGGATGAGTTTGTCCGAGCGAACGCCTGCAACCGGTTAACCGTCATTGCAGAACAAATCCGATATTTGCAAGAACAAGCCAGGAAGGTAATAGTGGGCACGACCCCAAAGCAGAATTATCAAGATCTTTTTTTTTTTTTTAAATCTTGGGGGAATTCTGGGACTTGAAGTCCACCGGTTGGGAAACATTCTTGTAATTCCACGCGCGGTCTCAATAATTTAATTTTAACGGAAGGACCAAACAAAAGCTTAGGAGAACAGAAGGGGTTCGATCTCCGCTATATGGTTGAGTTTCAACTATTCACTTAGTGACTGTCTGAAGTTACAAGGACACTGAAAAAAAAAAAAACTTTAGCATGACAGCAAAAAATATCCGATGGACAGTGGATTCACTGAATGACAGTTGCAAAAAAAGTTTTTAAAATAAGGTGACCTGCTTAACAACTGGCATGACTTAAAGCCATCATTCTGGGCTCAATTGCAGTCACAAGTCGAGGACTGCCTGTATACTGGTCTTTAGACTGTGACCATAAAGATTTGATTCGGTTTGGTTGATTTGGGGGGAGGGGGGATTATACCCTATGGAAGGAAGTCTGCAGGATCAAGAGAGGATCAAATAAACATAATCGAAATTTCACTGCCGTTATGAATCGGTTGCACAGCGTCTGCATTTTGACCACTTGACAGTGGGGGATGCGTCAATGGTCATAAGTGTGAAAAAAGGCCCTAACTCATTTTTTTCCAAGTGCCGTTATGACTTTGGTCACTAAATGAATCGTCATGATTCAAGGACCGCCAGTAACCCAAGATTATAAATTGATATTTCATTGGGACTCGGGTCTATTTTTATGCAGCAAGTATGTCCTTGTTTTCTAACTTGTAGGTTCTGGAGGACGCTAAAAGAGACGCCGACCTTCACCACGTGGCCTGTAATTTTGTGAAGAAACCTGGAAATACTTATTACCTGTACAGGAGGGAAAGCGGCCAGCGTTATTTCTCCTTGCTTTCCCCAAAGGTATTTGTAACCTGAAAAAAACGGGGGTGATAAACCCAATGTCAACTCGCAAAGCATCCCTGGCCTGCTCTCGAGTTGCCATAGGCGAGGGGGATGGGAAACCAACAAAGTAGCACGGCAGCCAAAAACAGAAGCACATTCCAGACAGATCTCTCTCAAGGCTGTCTCCCAGGGTTACCCACAGCGGTGGGAGGGGAGTGATCTCTACAACCCGCGAAATTGCTCCATTGGCGAATGTGATTGATGACAGACCCTGGGGGGAGTGGGGAAACGGAGCAATTTCACGGGTTGTAGAGATCACTCCCCTCCAGCTTCTTTGGGTAACCCTGGGAGACAGCCTTGAGAGAGATATGTCTGGAATGTGCTTTTGTTTTTGGCTGCCGTGCTGCTTCGCCGTTTTCTCATCCCCCTTGCCTATGGCAACTTGAGAGCAGGCCAGGGATGCTTTGCGAGATGACACCGTGGTCACTTGATCAACTGACTCGCATTTATGACGGTTGCAGTGTCCCGGTTTAAGGTAATCCTCTTTTCCCACCTGACGAGCAAAAGCTGGGTTCACTTAACAACCGTGTTACTGCGGTGATTCGCTTAACACGTGTGGCGAGAAAAAGTCGTAAAATGGGGCAAACTCCCTTGAATTTCAATCATGTGACCGTGGGGATGCTACGACGGTCATAAGCGTGAGAAAAATCAAGTCAATTTTTTTTCAGTGCTGTTCTAACTTTAAACACTCATTCAACAAACGGTTGCAAGTCGGGAATTACCTGTATAAGAAAAGGAAGGGGGGGAAAAAAGCTACATTTAGAAGAACAGGAACTATATACTTAAGACAGTCTGAAAAAAAGGAAGAGAAAAGAGACAATTGATATGCAGAAAAGAGAAATTACTGCCTCTTAGGCAGAACAAAAGTTCTTCCTATAAACACAGAATTCTGTGCCTGGAACAGAAATAATTAGTTCATATTTACTATACTATCATATTACAATGAACAGTGAAAGATTTAATCGTTTCTTCTGAATAAATGACAGATGAAATAGAATACTTCCCGGTCTTTTCTTACGAGAAAAATTAAAAATTTCTTCCTCCTTGTTGTTTATTTTTTTCCCAGGCCTTAGGATAAAGTGAATAGCAGTTCTGTGGTTAATTACGTTTTAAAGCTCATTTTTCTTGCATTTGTGTCTCTGTGTGTGTTTTTAATCGTAGTGTAGGCTGTGTCCCCCCAGCGACATAGAATTGGGTGGTCTTATAAATGTCTTAAATAAATAAATAGCAGTGGTGTAAATACTCTTCCGTTTATAACAGTCGATGGCAGTGAGATTTAGACTTACGTTTATTGATCCCTGGAATAAACAGATTGTGTTATTTTTGAGCCAACGAACCCAATTTCACTGCAGGGTACACAAATCCTCTTCAGAAAAAAAAAAGAACTAAAAGCAAATTTATTTTATACGCTTCTAACTTTTAACAGCTGCAGCGATCCGCTTAACAACGCAAAGGTGGCGAGAAAAACGGGCAAAACTCTCTTTAACTGTCTTGTTGGGCAAGGAAAATGTTGGGGTCCATCGTGTTTGTAAGAAACGGACCCCCAAAATTGTCACAAACCTGTATCCTTGAGCTGTCTACGGTCTACTGCTCCTTCAAAAACCAACTTTGACATCCGTCAAGGGTGACCAGACAAGACTATAGCTTGTCCAAGCTTTGTCAGAAACCTCTCAGCACCTGGTTATGTTTTCCCAGGGGTTCACAACTGTTGTGGCCTGCCAGTGGATCTGGCAGCAGATTCGGACAGTGAGGAGGTTGGGGAGGAACATGGGCCAGTCCTGGAGCCTGGGGAGGGCTCTGATGAGGGCTCTGCGTCAGAGGCAGAGAGGGGGCCAGGGCCGTATGACAGGTATCAGCTGCCTTCGGAGTCAGACATCAGTGAGGCAGAGGAACAGCTGGAGCCTTTTCCCAGTGTGTGCATGCGCAGAGCTGCTAGGAGAAGGGAACAGCTAAAGAACAAGGGGCGACTCAGGAGTAAAGCCACAGGTGGACGATGAATGGCCCCTCCCAGAGGGAATAAAAGAAGAGCGAAAGGAGAGTGGAGTTTGCAGGAGACAATTAGTTCATTCCTGCATTCTTGCCAATGAAAGATATCGGCCTGGCCACTCTCCAAGCCTGATAAAGGTCGGTAATTGTGAACTATCTTGAAAGACTGTGGGAGAGGAAAGACTTTGCTGGAGAGGAATTCACTGTAAATTAAATAAAAGGGGTTTATCGGGACGAGGACTCTGCTTCGTGCCTGGGGAAGCCTAGATCAGAACAATGGCTATCTTTCAGTCCCATTCCTTTTTCCTGGAGAATTGAGAAAAGCGGGCTTCGCACACTGTTCTTTTCGAGGGACGCTGCTTAACGCGCTCCTTTCTCCCTTCCATCTAGGAGTGGGGAGCTAACTGCCCCAGCGAGTTCCTCGCTGCCTACAGACTGCAACACGACCTCTCCTGGACCCCTTCGGACGAGGCGGAGAAACGGGACACCGAACTCAACGTCTTGGAGAAGCTGCTGGACCAACAAGCCGTTTTGGCCCCTTGCAGCGAGCCCAATTTTCGCGGCCTTACGATGTGACGGCGGTTTTGTTTCTTTCCCCCGCCACGAAATTAAGGAGACGCCCGGTTCTCCTCTTCGCAAACCGTTCTCTCTCCTGGCTGCTTTTGAAAAATGAAAGGAGGGGGGGGGCAGAACGACTGGAGAACAACTTCCTCTTCGATACCCATTTGGAAACTTTTTGCTGATTTTTTTTTTTTAAAAATTGGGCGGATTCCAGTTTTCCATCTTTGCGGTTTTAGCCGTTTAGCGATCGGACGGCGGCCCGAGAAAGTCATTTTAGCCTCATTCCGTGTCACCTCCTGCAAGGGACAGTCCAAATTAAGGCTGCCTCTCCTTTTTCCCCCCCCAAGCTTGGAATCCTCTTGCTCTTCAGCAGAGAAGGTACGAAGAGGTGGCAGGAGCCTTGGAGGTCATCTAGTCCCACCCCATTCCCAGGGATAAGATCCACCACGACAAATGTGACTGAACTCCATGGGATAACAACGCACCATTAATTATATGTCTTGCCTTCCCAATGGAGAAGATTTATTTATTTATAGAATGAAAATTTCCTCCCCACCTCATTTTCTCAATAACTCTGAGGTAGTTTGGACTGAAAGAAAACCAGAGGTCTTTTTTTTTTTTTTTAAATCAGAAGAAGGAGATTTAACTAATAGTTTTATTTAGCTGGGAGTTCCATGACATTGAAGATAAAATTCTCTACCTACAACAGATTTATGAAGAATGTTTAACACGGGGAATTTTGAGTGTTCGGTATGAGGCAACAGTTCTTGGTCCTAACAGTTTGGATATTTAAATTTTTTTTTTAAGAACCTAAAAATGAACAGAAACTAGTTGAAACAGAACAAAGAAAGAAGGAAAGAGAAGGGAAAAAGTAAACACAAACATGCATCGAGAAACAATAAAGAAACGCAAAGAAATTTCCGATTACAGCAAACCTAATTACAAAATGATCTTGCTTCAGGATTACAAAAAAGGCTCCCTTTTTCCCCATTTTATTCCCCCTAATCATCAAAACCAGGAGTGTTGTCTTTTTTTTTTTCTCGTTTCATGCAAAATGAAATGATTTTGGGCCTGTCCCCTATCTCTCTCCACCTACCAGAGCGGTTGTCGTCGTGGGGAAAATAGGAGGAGGAGGAGGAAGGACGGCCAGATACGTTCGCTGCCTTGAATTATTTATAACAATAATGGAATTAAAAAAAGCCTAATAAAAATAAAAATGTCACAACTTTTGAGCATCCCTAATGTCTGGAAATTGAAAGTGGAAAAATTGGACACACCCTATAAATAAATAAATGTGTCTGTATATGTATATGTGTAATTTATATGTATGTATGTATATATATATATATGTATGTGTGTATATATGTATATGTATATATAGGGACGCGGTGGCTAAGACACTGAGTTTCTCGATTGAAAGGTCGGCAGTTCAGCGGTTCGAATCCCGAGTGCCGTGTAACGGGGTGAGCTCCCGTTACTTGTCCCAGCTTCTGCCAACCTAGCAGTTTGAAAGCAGGTAAAAACAAATGCAAGTAGAAAAATAGGGACTACCTTTGGTGGGAAGGGAACAGCGTTCCGTGCGCCTTTGGTGTTGAGTCATGCTGGCCACATGACCACGGAGACGTCTTCGGACAGCGCTGGCTCTTCGGCTTTGAAACGGAGATGAGCACCGCCCCCTAGAGCCGGGAACGACTAGCACATAGGCGCGAGGGGAACCTTTACCTTTATCATCTATCTATCCATCCATCCATCTATCTTATCTATCTTATCCCTCCCTCCCTCTATCCATCTATCATCTATCTAATCTCTATCTATACCGGTATGTATGTATATAGTATATAATATATAATACCGTTTTCCCCAAAATAAGACATTTCCCTGATAATAAGCTTTTGAGCGCATGGCAATAAGGCCAAGCGCTTATTTCAGGGTTCAAAAAAATATAAGACGGGGTCTTATTTTCAGGGAAACACGGTATATACCCAGAGCCCTGTATGTATGTATGCCAGCCTTTGTGTATCATATGTGAATATATATATATATATATATATTATATATATATATGTATTGTATACATATATGTATACACATATGCAGGTATATGTACATATATGTATGCATGTGTGTATATATGTATGTATACATAGAAATAAACTTACCTGTGTGTATACATACACATGCATATTTATCATCCATCTATATATACCTGCACCCCATATATATATATATATATATATATATATATATATATATATATGTATATGTATATATATATATATATATATATATATATATATGACATGTATATATGTAAGAAGACATGTATGTATATGTATATATATGTGTGTATGTGTATATATATATACGTGTGTGTGTATGTATGTATATGTATAGTGGCATCCATGTATATACACTATCTCGTATGTATACATGCAGGCACATATGTCCATAAAACATGGATAGCCACACACAGGCATACATGCAGATACACTACTAGCCTATGTATACATATAGACACACAGAAAACAGCCTATGTGCGTGCTCGTGCGCATGCGTGTACACATACGGGCCTCCCGCCTCCGTCTGCTTAAACCAGAGAGCAGAGCTGGCGGAAGGCGGGGCCTCCTCATTGGGCGGGGCCTCCCCTCCCGAGCGTCCCCCTCCCTCTCCCCCCCGCGACGTCGCCCTCAAAACCCCGCCTCTGCAGGGACGCGGTGACGTCAGCGCGCCCGCCCGCCCTTGCTGCCCAGGCGAGGAGACCCCGCAGCGAGCTGCCAACGCCCGGCGGAGCAGCGCTGTGAGGTAAAAAAAAAGGCAACGGCAACGGCGGGATTTCTCGGCCCGGTCGGCGGCGGCGGAGGGAGGGAAGGAAGGAAGGAAGGAAAGAAAAAGAAAAGAGGGCGAAGGCCCCTGCGGTGCGTCTCCGGACTGAGGGGAGGGGAGGAGGGGGGGTTCGCCCTCCTTCCCTCCCTCCTTCCGTCGCCTCAGCCTTTGTGGGGGAGGGGAGCTCGGCCCTTTCCTGAGGGGGGGGAAGGGGGAAGTGGGGGGGAGGGGCGCGTTTACCGGAAGGGGGAGGGGGGACGCCGGGCTCCTGTCTATGTGGGGGGGGGGAAGGGGGAACGGACGGACGGACTACAACGCCCATCCTTCCCCCCCGGGGGGGGGCTGGCGGGGGATGATGGGAGCTGGGATACCGCCGCCGGGGAAGCGTTTTTAACACAGCGCGAGCGGATGGGACGGGTGAGGGGGGGCTTTGCTGCCCTTTCCCTTCCCCTCACAGCGGGGCGGCCGGGGAGCATGGGCGTTGGAGTCCCAGGAACGGGGGGGGGACCACCTCTTGAGTGTGTGTGTGTGTCTCCCGAGTGGCCGAGGAGACGCCCTCCAAGCTGGGGTCTGAGGGAGGGAGGGAGGGGGGGTCTGTTTGTCCCGTCCCCTCCCCCCCTTTCCTCCCCTCCCTTCCCTCCCTCAACCCGACCGCTCCAGGAAGGGGGCGAAGAGGCCCGGAAGACCATAGAGAGCCGGGCCGCGGGAGGGATCGGCCTCTTCCGGTGTTGGGTGAGGGGAGGATAAAAAAAAGGGGGGGAGAATAAGGGGAGGGGTCCTCGTCCTCCCAATTGCTTTCCCCAGCGTTGCTGGCGGAGGAAGGGGCAGCTGGGAAGAGAGGTCTCCTTTCCTTTTTCCTTCTTCCATTCCTTCTCCTGTATTCCTTCCCTTCCCTCCCATTCTTTCTTTCTTTCCCTCCCTCCTTCCTTCCCCCCTCTCCATTGCTCCTCCTCCCCCCCTATTCCTTCCTTTCTTCTCTCCCTGCCATTCTTCCTCCTCCCCATTCTTTATTTCTTTCCTCTCCTCCTTTCCTTTTTTTCTTCTCTCCTTCCTTCCCCCTCTTCCTTCCTCGTCTCTTCTCCTTCCCTTCCTTCCTTCCTTCCTCTCCCCTCTTCCTTCCCCTTCTTTCTTTCCTTCCTTCCTCATCTTTTCTCCTTTCCTTCTCCTTTCCTTTTTCTCCCCCTCCTCCTTCCTTCTTCCTTCCTCATCTCTTCTCCTTTCCTTCCTCTCCCCTTCTTCATCTCTTCTTTCCTTCCTCTCCCTCTCTCCCTCTTCCTTCTCCTTCCTTCCTCATCTCTTCTCCTTTCCTTCCTCTCCCCCTCTTCCTTCCTTCCTTCCTTCCTCATCCCTCTCTCCTTCCTCCCTTCCTTCCTCTCCCTTCCTCCCCTCCTTCCTTCCTTCCTTCCTTCCTTCCTTCCTCATCTCTTCTCCTTTCCTTCCTCTCCTCCCCCCTCCTTCCTTCCCACCTCCCACCTCCCCTCCCTCCCTTCTTTCTTTCCTTCCTCCCTCCCTTCCTGTCTCCTTCCTTTTCCAATTTTCTGAGATTCTATGATTTTAATTCGCCTTAAAACAGTTAAGGCTGGCTGGGGAATTCTGGGAGTTGAAGTCCAGAAGAAGACCTCCAAGGTCCCTTCCAGACGGAAAACTGGCCACCAATGCTTGGAAAGATGGGGCTGGTTGAGGATGTTTAGGAAAGGGGGCAGGTTGGGGGATTTCACCCATTTCTGCTGGGCTGCACCCTGGGGCCACAGGCAACTCACCTCAAAGTCTCCCCATTAAAATCTCAACAGGTTTAAACATGCACAAAGTGCTGGGAATCCATTCAGGAATCTCTTGCATTGACTGAGAATGTTAGTCATGAGGGTTTTTTGCACTGGGGCAATTAATTAAAACTCCAATTAATTTAGACTGGAAATAGCCCGACCAGTACAGTACTGTAGGTATGTTGTAGATACCCAAAATGTAATGCCCTACCTCAGCGGTCTCTCTAAACTTGGCAATTTTAAGACTTATGGACTTCAACTCCCAGCCAGTCATGCAGCCAAATCCACATGTCTTAAAAGTTGCTAAGTTTGGAGACCCCCAGGTCTGATGGGAGATCCCTGACTGGTACTTTTGACATATTTTCTTTTTATCTGGATGGCAGTGGGCAAAATGGCAGCATTTGAGTTACTGGTGGGAAGTTTTGCTCCTTTTCCCCATGCAAATTTATCTCTGGGAGATCTCACTACTGTAAAGGAGGCTTCTGCAGCTTTTGAACCCCAGTGTCTCAAGGATGGGTGTGTAGCGTTGAATTTCATAGGTTAAGAAAGGCAGGATTATACCATGTCATCACTAACTTGAATATCTTGCATGATATTTTCCAAGATCAGAAGTAAAGGGATTATAAAAGCTAGTTAGACCATCTCTGATTTAAATAGCACTATATGCTACATTAGGGAAGATTTTTCCCCCCATTTTAATCCAATAGAATTTGTTTTCTTGGTCTAGGATAAAGAATAACTAATGCCTTTAATTTAGAAATAATTCAGCATAAATACAGATTATACAGTTATATATCAGTAACTGGTATTTAAGCAAGCAGTTATGGGAATCATAAAAGTGGATTCTCTTATATAATGATATAGTGAGTGTTGAATCAGAGCATTTTTTAAACAATTAGTTTTTCTACATATTCCAATGGAGATTGGCTCACCTGTAATGTGGAAATGATAGTCCTTTAATGATTGCTTAGATGTATATAATATTTGTAGAGAGCAGTCTCCTTGGTACTCTTTGTGAATGAACTCAGTATATAATATGTCTCATAATGCTCTGTCTGATACTTTGTTTAGGTCAATATTTTGCATTTACATTTTATTTTCAATCTAAAATTGTGTCCCCTGAGTGATACTTGGGAATTTGGACATTCTGAAAAAAGTCATTGTGGAAGCTTGCCTTGTCTTGAGTTAAACTACTATTCTTTGTAGATTGAATTTGAAGAAGTTCTCTGTATAACATAAAGTTTTAAGTCTTGTTTTTAAGCTGCAAAGTTCTGCTAATGTAGAAAAAAAACCTGTGAATTAGGAAGTCCCCATTTTGTAGGCCATTTGTTCTGGGAATGCAGAAGAATCTCCCCATTTCAGGATGATAAGAAAGAGTTTCTGTGTTCCTTGACATACGAAGCACTCCAGATGTGCTATACCACCCGTGCTTAGGTTTTATTACCTATCCAGATGGGTGGGGTGGGGTGGGGTGAGGTGGGCTGGGCTGAATTGGGTGAAGGAAAGAGATAGGGAGAGGTTTCGAAGGTAAGCCTGGCCTGAGATGGCATTGGGAGCCCTTCATGTTATCTTGGCTGATTTGAATGCTGACCTCAGATAGGCGAAGGAGCTGGTGGCCTTGAGTGCCTGCAGAGTTTCTGCTTGTCTGTCCCAGCCCATTTTTTGCCTGGTTGTGAAACAGACAGGAGAGCCTATATAATAACTTGAGGGATTGCAAATCGACTTTTGTTTGTGGTTGCTTACGCTTTAAAATTTCCTTTTTGCATGTGCTTGCACAGAGAGCTGGAAAATTTCTGCCCATTGGTTTGTGTTGGAAGATCAGTTGATTAGTCCTCGGTCATCATATTCCTTTGTGTTGATTGGTCTCTGATTGGTCATTTTGACAATGCCACTTAGGTATTCCCCCTGTTTTGGAAAAATGTGTTCAAACATGTCATGCTGAAAACCTTTCAGGGGTTGTTAAACTTCTGTTCAGAATATGCAGTAAATAGTTCTTCAGTCCCAGCATAAATGCCAAGAAATGGATAGCAATAATTAAATTTGCTAATCTTATGGTATTTGGCAGTTACTGGGATTGTACATATGCTAAGAATTAGCTATCACTTCATACTGGATGTAGGATGTCCAATCTCTACCATATTGTATGCTATATGTATGTATGTACTGTATGTATGTGGAGAAAGCAGCCTTATAATTTCAAGATTAGCTTCCTTAAAGTGGCTTTTGTAATTGACTGATGGGAAATTTGTCAATGCTGACAATGTTCCAGTGGTCCTCCAGATGTTTTCAGATTGCACCCAAGGCTCCTATTACTCTTGGTACTATCTTTGCTTTCTTTTGCCACAGTTGCTCTTCTGTTTGCAGATATTTATTATTTTATGACTTTCTCCAGTTCTTCCTCTTCTATTCTTCTGTCTCCAGACATTGTCCACAATCCAGATATATATTTTTTTGTCTTTCTTATCAATGGTTGTTACATCTGGGGTGTTATGGAGTAGGTGGGTTGTCTAGAGCACCGGTCACCCACTGGTGGTCCGTGAGAAAATTTTGGTGGTCCACAGAAAAATTATTTGCATGTTTTTATATTGTATTAAATCAGGGGTCCTCAAACTACGGCCTCTGGGCCAGATACGTGCAATGAACATTTGTGTTGCTGCAGTGAGTCTCACCCTTCAGGGTCTTCTTGTGTGGGTCGGAGGGGGGCAGAAATTCCAGCTCAGGGTCTGTTTCGGCCACCTGGTGTGGGGCTTTGGGCGAAGGGCCGGAGGGCCTCGTTCCAGTGGGACTGCATCATGGCCTGGAACTGGCTGACCATCTCAGCCTGCTGAGCCTCAAGGCACCAATACCTGGCCTTGCACTCCCGCAGGTCTTCCCTCTGCTTGGAAAGCCTATGCATGTAGTCCTCAGTGAGGTGCTTCTGCTGAGCCTCCTTCTCAGCTAGATCCAATTTGAACTGAGCTGATTTGCCAGCTCTTTCTCATGGTGGCTGCTTAGCTCCAACAGGCTAAGGGCTTGCTGTTGGGGCCCTAAGAAGCCCAGGCAGGCAGGCGAGGAGTGGCTGTGAGGGGAAGGGTGAGTAGAGGTGTCCCTCGACGTGAGTGACATCAAATTGGCCACGCCTACCCAGTCACATGACCACCTAGCCATGCCCAGCCAGCCGGTCAGTAGGCAGATCATATTAGTGGTCCGCGGGATTTAAAATTAGGAATTTAGTGGTCCCTGTAGTCCGAAAGGTTGGTGTGGTGCAGTATAAGTTACTCATTTTTATTTAGACTCTTGGGAAAAAACATTTTCCATTTTAATGAAATGTAACAAATGTGAGTGAAAAATAATCAGAAGTGTATAAAATAGATGTTGTACCTCAGTGCAGAGTAAAGTTTGTGTACGAACATAGAGACTAGGTTTACTGTGGCTGCATAACAGGCCTTCTGCAGAAGAAAACAATTATATATTCTCCGGAGAGGTTTCTTGATGAGACTCTAATAAGTCTTAACAAGCTTTTATTATGGTTATTATTTACTCCAATTCCCTAAAACCCTACATCAACAGTCCCCGGTACTTTTGCAGCTCTGCTTCCTTCTTGGCTGGCCCCTTGATGTTGAGAGAAACATGAAAAGAAAGCAAAGTTCAGTGATACAGAGGAACACTCCCACTAATAGGAGGGGCTGTTACTTGGTATAAATCTCTGCTGTAAAAATAATTCAGCTCTACATTTAGATGATGAACTAGCGAACTTCTAAGAACTGAGTTTCTTAGAAAGGTTGCTATTGAGGGAATAGGACCATGCACATGTATGAACGTTGAAGATTTCATCAGAAAAATAAGAAAACTGCTTTTGATTTTCACAACCACCCCAAAAAACTGGAATGACCTGTAGCAGAATTCAAAATTGCCCAAGGATTTTAGTGTTGGTAGATTTCAGCACCTTGAAAATGCATGTTCTCTGGTGTGATGCACAAATGATAGAAATAAGCTGGGATGCGATTGTTACCTCCGAGTGCCTACTTGCAAAACAGGAAGGAAAGTTCTTGTGGTTAAAACCAAATTTCTAACTTTGGCATGAAGTTTAGTGCCAGTATGAATAATAAAAGTTTTACATTGTGCTGCACGACGTGTAATGTTAATGTAAGGCCTTAAATAGCACGACACAACCTCTTGTTTTATATTCCTGCTTTATAGAAAAACCTGTACAGGATGTGTTATGCAAATGCTGGCATTTTCTGTTTGGGGGAAGAAAGAGCTTCAGCTTCTTAGTCATGGCCTTTTCACCAATGTTTCTACCACCCAGGATCCCTTGAGAACAGCAAATTTTTGGTGGGATTTCCTGGAACCTTCCTTTTAGGGAACATAACTGAAGTATAATTCAGAATCCTATAATCAGATAGATTATTTGGGGAAAATTGGTTTTAATTTCCCCTTCTTGCTCCCGTTCTCTTTGATCTGCTTTTTGGGGGTTCTACTTACTATAGCTGAATTTCTTGAGAGGCCTATACAGAAAGTGCAATAACAATGATAACACGTTTTCTATCCTTCACATAATTAATTACCTGATTTCCTGTTTTTATTTTTCCAGATTAATTTTGGACCTGATATAGCAACAAATTTGAACTATGCAGACAATTAAGTGTGTGGTTGTGGGAGATGGCGCTGTTGGTAAAACATGTCTTCTAATTTCTTATACAACAAATAAATTTCCCTCTGAATATGTACCAACGGTGAGTAAAAGGTGATACTTTCTCTCCCCCCCCTTTTCTTGTACAAAGTTAAAGAACAGAGAATGATGGTGCTGCTAATTAGACCTATATATATGAAATAAAACCTGTGCATGTGTTCAAAAGTGACAGTGTGATGCAACAACAGCATTTTAGTTTAAGGGCTGTTTTTTGGACTTTTTGCTTTGGGAATTGTTCGAACATTATACATTGGTGTGATAATGCAAGCTTGTGCCATCTGCCAAGCTTTCAGAAAATAAATGCCCACTGTCGAACTGCTTTATGATGAGATCAAGAAGTTATCCTGAATACAGGAAGTGAAAACTTTAGGCTGAACTTCATAGGACCAGCCCATAAATTCACCCTTTGCACTGAACAGCTGAGGTGTCACAGTGGTGGTTAGTAGAAACAATGGCTAGCAGGTCTGGCAAAGCATGTGAAGGAGGTGCTTAGCAACACGGATGAGTGAGCATTAAAGGAGCCACATTCTTTTCAAGGCTTGGGTGTCTGCATTTGCACACCTAGACAATGGATTAACTGAGACTGCCAGAGGAGAATAGCCTTCAGCATATACCTGTGCAAGCAACTGGTGACAGCTTTGGTATCCTCAAGTTGGTTGTCTTCTTGCAGACATTTCATTACCAAACTAGGTAACATCATCAGTGCACCCCACAGTTCAGCCCTGAGCTACAAATATTCTCTCAGTGGGGACATCTTGCTAAATAAAATTTCAGGCCTTCCAAAGGTGGCTTAGTGCTTCCAACGGGGCTTACTTTGCTCACGCTGACATGCTTAACAAAACTTTTTAAAGTGTTTCCCCGATTCAAATACTTAGCGGTAGTATTTAAACCTTGCTCAACCACTACTGGACACAAACTTCAGATGAATTAGATTAATAAATGGGGGCCATTTGTACTTTTTCAAATCAGCGCCCCTTCAAGATCATATGTAAATCCTGAACTCCTTTACATAAACAAAGGTAAATTAATAACTGTTTGCAGTACTTTTAACCAGCATTAATATATCTGGGTTAAACAACAGCGAAAAGGTGTGTTTATAGGCAATGATGCATCCTATGTTGTGTTTTATCGTTTTGTAATTGTTTCTAATTTCTAAATGCACCACAAAATCCTCCTCCCCCCCCCAAAAATAATAAGAATAGCTGGTGTACATATGTGAATACTAACCTTAGTACATGTCCATCTTCTTAGTTTTATAATACTGATTCAATTCAATTTTTATTCCTGCCTTTTTTTCTACGCAACTCACGGCAGTGAACATACCTAATACTCCTGCCTCCCAGTTTTCCCCACAACCACCACCTTGTGAAGTGGGTTGGGCAGAGCGAGTGAGTGAGTGATTGGTTTTCAGGCCTAAGGAAAACATAGCATTCAAGTTTCTTGGTGTTTAAACCAGCATATTCCAAGTATGTTTCGCTGCTTGGAAGATTATTTAAATCAAGATACTTAAATCTATAACAACCTTGTATTTTAAAATGCCTGCTTAGGTTCAAATGTCAGCCTGCTGGTTTCTCTTAAAAAAGAGAAGCCTTTGATTTGTAGGCGGGGAGACTTTAAAATATTGTAATTACACGTAGACTTAATTGTTTGGTTAAACATAATAGTTCTGAGTAGGGCAACTATATTAGACTGTTACTGAAACCCCCTACTGACGGCTGAGCTTGTTCTGCTGGTTTCTTACAGGTTCATATTTCTACATAAATAGTTGATTTAAGTCCCAGGTATGCTTTATATTTGGGAGATGAATGATCGATGCTGAAAGTTGTTTCTTGTCTTTTTAACTCTGCAGGTGTTCGATAACTATGCTGTAACAGTGATGATTGGCGGGGAGCCATACACCTTAGGCCTGTTCGATACTGCAGGTAAACTGCCTTTTTAACTCTGTCCATCCTTTGAGGAAGAAGGTGAAGGGGGGGGGTTTGTAGTTGCTGTAGCACAACTTGACTGTTGATAAAACTTCAATGTATAAGTATGCCGAAAACCAGAGCAATATTATATCTGCCCAAAGCAATGTAATGTAAAGAACATTACATTTCCACTTCCATTTCTTCCTTCCGCAGAGACAAGGGGAATTTCTTGAACATCCACACAAGTCCCTTTCCACCCCCTTTCCCCTTCTGTTTGTTGATTAATTTGGAAGCCTCTGTAGCAGAGGGAAGGAATAAAATGTTCCTTGGTGGATATAGCTCTTGCTTTTCTCCTTCATCCTGTATATGTTTCTCCTGTATGGTGTAGGGTCTCCTGCTTGGGTGGAGGGGGGTTTGGACTAGATGACCTCCAAGGTCCCTTCCAACTCTTCTGTTATTCTGTTATTATTATTCGGTATCCTCTTCCTTCCAGCCTTCGTATTCTATCAATGCACTTGAGTGAATCTGCCAGAATTTCTTGGTTTGGGAAATGACACACGGGATGGATTTACAGCTGTCATTTCCTGCTTTGCATATCTCAGATAGAAAGGAACATTTTTTTAGGTACAGCTTCCTCAGTAGCAAGAACCGCTTCATGATCGCAATATCACATTTATTTTACCAAGCGTGGCCTCGATCTTTTCCCGCAGAAAGTGGAGAATGACAGTTATTGGTGTCCGGCCTTGGAGTAAGGCTTGGGCTTTTCTCCTCGCGGGTGTCAGTTTTGTGTGCCATTCTTCCTTGTTAGAAGCAACAATCTGAAAGTGCAACTGAATTTTCTTCTGGGAATGACATTCCTCTGATTTACAGGTTATCATTTGGGCTTCTGAGTCATAAATGGAAAGGGAGAGAGGGATGCGTCCCTTTGGAATATGCACAGCTTAAAAGTTTGAGCCGTCTGAAAGAAAAGAGGGCAGTTTTGCTTGAATCCCTTCAGCAATATTCTTTTCTCATTCTGATTGAGTTAAAATTCTAAAGCCACTGACAAGATGGTCCTTGGCTTACAGCAGTTCGCTTAGTGACCGTTTGAAGTTATTGGAAAAAAAACGACTTGGCACCATTTTACGACCGTCGCAGCATCCCCATGGTCACCTGACTTACACTTGGACGCTTGGCAACTGGCTCCTATTTATGACGGTTACGTTGTCCCGGGGTCACGTGATCCCCTTTTATGACCTTCCTGCGAGCCAAGTCAAAGGGGAAGCCAGATTCACTTAACAACCGTGTGACTAACTCAGAGGTCTTCAAACTTGGCGGCTTTAAGACTTGTGGACTTCAACTTCCAGAATTCTCCAGCCAGCTATGCTGGACTAACTTAACAACCGCAGTGATTACCTTAACAACTGTGGCCGGGAAGGTCATAAAACGGGGCAAAACTCAACACGTTTCTTCTCCCTTAGCAAGGCTCAATTGTGGTCGTAAATCGAGGACAACCCTGTATATACCTGTGTGAAATGTTCTTGCGCCCTTTCCTCCATCCTGAGACCAAGTTTCTAACGTCGGTCTCTTTTATTTTGTTTTTTCCCCCAGGACAGGAAGATTATGACCGATTACGGCCCCTCAGCTACCCACAGACAGATGTGTTTCTGGTCTGCTTCTCGGTGGTCTCGCCCTCTTCGTTTGAAAACGTTAAGGAAAAGGTGAGGGCCTTCGGGCTGCACCCATGGCCGATGCTTTTAATCTGGAGGGGGGGTGGGTCCTTGGTGCTCTCTGAGCCTTGGTTGACATTCTTGCAGACGCTTCATTAACCAAACTAGGTAATACCATCAGACTGATAACCATAGCACTAGCAACATCCCTTAGACTTATATACTGCTTCATAGTGCTTTACAGCCCTCTCTAAGCGGTTTACAGACTCGGCATATCGCCCGGCAACAATCTGGGTCCTCATTTTACCGACTTCGGAAGGATGGAAGGCTGAGTCGACCTTGAGCCAGTCAGGATTGAACTGCTGGCAGTGGGAAGGGTTAGCCTGCAATCCTGCATTCTAACCACTGCACCATCATGTCAGAATAGAATAGGGAATAAAGTAGAATAGAATAATAGAATAGAATAACAGAATAGAGAAGAATAGACTATGGAATGGAATGGAATAGAATACAGAATAGAATAGAATGGAATGGAGAGTAGAGAAAATAGAATATAATAGAAGAATAGAATAGAATAGAATAGAATAGAATAGAATAGAATAGAATAGAATAGAGAATAGCAGTAGCCCTTACAGTTATATATTACTTTGGGGGGGGGGAGGTGCTCATGATATTAAACTAGTTTGACCATGAAACGCCTCACGGTAAGAGCCCAGGGTCGCTTCGTGCGGTGATTTTTTTTCTTTTTTTTTAATAACCTGACCGCTGGTCACGTTTTTCTCTCTCCAGTGGGTCCCCGAAATCACTCACCATTGTCCGAAGACTCCCTTCCTGCTCGTCGGGACCCAGATTGACCTCCGAGACGACCCCTCGACGATTGAGAAGCTCGCCAAGAATAAGCAGAAGCCCATCACTCCCGAAGCCGCGGAGAAACTGGCGCGGGACTTGAAAGCTGTCAAATACGTGGAATGCTCTGCGCTCACACAAGTAAGGCCCCTCCCCCTGTTTAAATCGATGTGCGCGGGCTGCTGTTGTTAGCGGAAGGGGAGGGGGGAATCTTCAGAGAGTGATGGGGGCTCCGGCAGGTAAGTTCCTCTTCGGTTCAGTCTGTAGCTGTCTCCAGAAATTCTCAACGTAGAAAACCCCGCGAATCTCTTGGAACAGTTTTGCACGAGGTGCTAAAAAAACCCCAACGAATTGGATGGCGTAAAGCAAACGAAGACGGCGTCACCATTAATTAACCATCACGGCACTCCAAAGAGCAAATCCCAACCCTTCGCATTTAATTTCCCATTGATTTGAAACCCTTAATTGCACACGGAGCCGTGTCGCAATATCCTTTGTATGATAAATCGGATAATTGCAAAAGGCAGCAGCAGGAGGAGGAGGAGGAGCCAGTCGAAACGAGCGAGTTAGGCTTGTTGGGCGACTCAGAATCTCTGTCGGGCTCACCCTGAAAAGTTCTTTTTTTTTAACTCGGATGTTATGATTTTTTGCGGTCCGTGGATGCAGATAGAAAGACATTTTTAATGGATGGTGTTTATATAGAGTTTGTTGCCTGATAATGGTGCTTAGGGATGATAATGGTGATTAGGGATAGCTCGGGGCAGGGAGGGAGATGATGGCATTGTGTGGCAAACGAATTTGATGGTTTGGCAGAAAGGAGCTAAATTACCCGAGTTTCAAAGTGTGTCTCTTTCACAAAACGCAGCATCACAACTGCGAGATGTTGTCAGATATTGAGCACCTCCCGGGAGTTATGGAAGAGCCAAAGGATTGTATTAATACACCGTTTGTTTTTTAATATAAATTTTTTATTAAACAAGGAGTAAAAACATTGGACATAGTGTGACCATCCCGGTCTTATCATATGTTATTTTTAACATAACAACAATTATAATTTGTTTTTAAAATTTGAAATTGGTTTTAAATTGAAATGTTTTAAATTATGGGCCAAATTTATTTAATTATTTTCAATCTATTTTAACTTTTGTGTATAAAGTGTTTTACTTTGGCTGTTCACCGCCCTGAGTCGGAAAGGAGAAGGGCGGTATAGAAATCTGAAAAATAATAATAAATAATAATAATACTAAATAATAATAATAATTACTATTTAACATACATTATTATTTTGTTCTTATATGCATATCCCTTGTCCTCAATTACATATTTGTCTTAAATATTATCCAGCATCCATATTTTATAAGCCCTAATTCTTTTTTGTTCCAACTCCTTTTCTCCTTTCCAACCATTGGTACACTTTGTTCCAAATTTTATAGTATTCTACACAGTTATTAATATTAGGTATTAATACACAGTTTTGAATGACAGCCCTCGGAGTTCTCCCCCAGTGTCAAAAGGGGTGGGAGGGTGGGGAGTAAATTACAGGTAGTCCTTGACATACGACCTCAGTTGAGTTCCAGACTTCTGTGGTTAGGTGAATTTTGCCCCATTTAACGAACTTTCTTGCCACCGTTCCTAAGTGAATCACTGCAGTTATTAAGTTAGTCACACGGTCGTTAAGCAAACCCCATTGACTCTGCTTGTCAGAAGGGGGTCGCATGAATCATAAATATGAGTTGCCAAGCATCTGAATTTTGATCACATGTCCACGGGGATGCCCTAACAGTCATAAGTGTGAAAAATAGTCCTAAATCACTTTTTTTCCAGTACTGTCGTTACTTCGAACGGACACTAAGTGAGCTGTTGTAAGTTGAGGACTACCGGTAACTGAAATCTTACCTGAACCACATTAAAGTGTCAGGGAGGGAAAGTTTTGGAAGTATTTTTTCTCCCAAGGGGGATGGAGATAGGAAATGTTTCTCCCCTCCTTAAAACAATATTTTTGAGGGCGAGGTTGGCATTCTGGAGTGCAAAGCTTTAAACAAACAACAGAAATCGAGGTTCGTATAGAGAAACTTAATTCTTGCCCTTGGTTTGGAAGGGAAAGCCTTAGCAAATGTGGTTAGCTTTTTAAAAAAGTTGTTATTGTTTTAATGAACATAAGAGGAAATAAAAAAGAAGAACATAAAACCAAACAGAAGTAAAAAAAAAAAAACTTGAGGCATGTTTGATACAAGAAGTAATTCAGTCTAGTTTTAAAATAAACTTCCAATTGTCTAATCTTCCTTCATGCCAAGTGTTGTGGCAAATTCTAATGCCATTCAACTGTCCCTGCTTGTTTTCTTAAAGATAGGATCGCTTAAAAAAAATGCCATGAATTAAATACTATTATTAATCTGTAGAATGCTTCTGCATAAAAAGGTAGATTAAAATAAATAAATGGGTATGAAGTGGAAGATGTTTAGAACTAATTATGTGTAACACCAATGAGACTTCAGATTTTTAATCTCCTATATAAAAAAAAACACGCTACAGGAAAAGCACTTCTAGTCTGTAGCACTCAATTTATTCTGAAACTATGTAAAGGTTTGTCATAACGTCGAGATGCCGATATTAAAATGTAGCACAGTGTCAATTATAAACAATTTAGAACCAATTGCAATGCTTCTAATAGGGGATACACACACACATTGTTTCTGTAATAGAAGACCCAGTCTTATTTTTGGGGAAACACGTGTGTGTGTTTCCCCAAAAATAAGACTGGGTCTTCTATTACAGAAACAATTTCTTCTGTAATCTTAGTTCTAAGGAGAAATTTCCTGACAATTAGAACAATCAGTTGCCTTCAGAAGTTGTGAATGCTCCAACACTGGAAATTTTTAAGAAGATGTTGAATAACCATCTGTCTGAAGTGGTGTAGGGTATCCTGCCTAAACGGGGTTGGACTAGAAGACCTTCAAGGTCCCTTCCAACTCTGTTATTCTAGATTTCTATTTCTATACTTTGCTCCAAAAGACGCATTAAGGCTTATTTTCTGGTTAGGTCTTATTTTTTGGGGGAAATACGGTACTAAATGCATCCATCTGGCTGATAATCTTAATGGGGGCTTATTTTGGGGGTAGGGCTTATATTACGAGCATCCTGAAAAATCATCCTAGGACTTATTTTCTGGCTGGGTCTTATTTTCGGGGGAAACGAGAGAGAGAGAGAGAGAGAGAGATGAATAGCTAAATGATGATAGATAGATTAGATAGATAGATAGATAGATAGATAGATAGATGATAGATAGATAGATAGATAGATAGATAGATAGATATAGAAATATCTTGTACGTAAACAGGAAACCTGATTCAATTGCTTGTTTCATGTCAGATGAGCTTCCTGGGAGAAGTTGGTTAGTCCTGAAACCCCAAATTTTCATATATTTTTTATCCTGACACAGCTAGCCTTTTGGAGAGCGTTTCCATAAATACAGGCACACACACCTGAGCTATATTTGAAAGTTTTTTGTGGAGACCGTTGCACTAGGGAAGAGAAAAGCTTTGTGAATAATACAGTTCATAGAAAATCCTCAGCTTGTGCTGGTAGATAATTTCGTTATCTCTCAGTAGATTTAAGACAGGTTCAGTTTTGTGCCAAGGGTTCCACTTGGCTACGGTGCTGGTGCTGGTTTCTTTTCTTAGAAAACAATCTGTTGCTGCAGATCAGGACTTCGCGTGCTGATGTGACTATTGCAGACAGATGGAGGGCATTTTATCTGCAATTTCCCCCCCCTCCTGTCTGCCTTATCGCTTGGAGCTGACCGAGAATCCCACAGGTTAAATTTCTCGTGCTGGAACTGCCCAAGCTGCCATAGTTTTCCCTCCCCCCCCCTCAAAAATTGGGGAGGGAGCTGTCTAAACACGAATGTAATTCGTTTCCTGTTGGAAGTATTAACAGGTTTCTTGGTAGCAAATCCACGTCCAGTTGCATGGGAACAGCTGCTGGAAAGTTGATGCCTTTCTCTAATTTTACTCTGCCTGTGGCAGGCTGAAATATTAAAACCAGTAGGGCAGATTATTTATTCATCCGTCGTATTTGTGTAGCCTCCCATCTCATGAGAAGCTAACTCTGGAGGGGCGGGTGTGGGCTGAGAGTACTAAGCGAAGAATTGGAAACGGCCACCCTTTGACGGTCGGTTCATCCTCTCCAGAGAATTTTGCTAACCAATCTGAGTGGCAAATGTGGGTTAACTGCTTTCTCTTTTTCACGCTTTGTAGTCAAAAACCTGGTTAGTTTCTACCGAGGACACAGAGCTGGCCAGTTGTAACTCTGGTTAAGAAACCATCATGTGGTTTGCAGAGCAATGCTCCTCCGTATCATAAGTGCTTGTGAGTCGAATGGGCCTGGATATTCGGAGCCTCCTCCTACACACCAAAAAATCAGGTTGTTTTCTCCCCCTCTGTGAATGTGCGAAGACATCCGATGTCACGTTTAAATAAAGACCTTATCATCATTATCATCTTTTAACGACCCCATAATCCCTTGCGGAGTGGAGTTTGGCCAGCTGAACAGAGCTAGCAGAGTGTTGAATGGCCGGATGCCCTTCTTCTCGCCAGTGCGGAGTTTTGTTCGGCAGATCGATTTCTCATTGTGCCCAGAGAGAGAGAGAGAAATATCTGCCTCTCCCTAGGATCGAACTCACAAGCCCCCTCTAGGCCACCACACCCACTCCTTAAGTAAAGACTTTCTATTTATACGAAAACTGGTGTTCAGGTAGAACCCTTTCGCTCCGCTTGCCTCTCCTTTCCTCCTCCAAAGATCTACTTTGTGCCAAAAGTAAATCTGCTTTCACCGAACACCTTTGTTTCCTGAATGCTCTTTTGTACCTGCTTGTGTGTGTCTGTGTGTGTGTGTGTGTGTGTGTGTCTATCTCTCTCTAACCCTCTAACCAGGCTGCTATCTTTTTCTCCTCCCCCTCTGTCTTTATAGAGAGGTCTGAAGAATGTATTTGATGAGGCTATCCTAGCTGCTCTCGAACCCCCGGAAACTCAACCCAAGCGGAAATGCTGTATATTCTAAACTGTTTCCTCTTTTTTTTTTTTTTTTTTCTTCTTCTTTTCCTTTCCTCCTTTTCTTGTCGCTGCTTCTTCTCTCTCCTCGCTGTAGAAAGTTGGCTGGAAAACAACTACACCGCCAACACCCACCACCAATAAAACAAACCCTGAACGAAAGAAGCCGTCTCTCTTTACTCAATGTCTTTAGAGCAAACTCTGTATTAGCTTTTGAGGGTCGGGAAGGGATTAGAAACTGCTTTTTTTAAAAAATAAATAAATCGGGCCGCGGCTGCTGGAAACGTGAAAGTAGAACCCGTTAAAATGTGTTTTAGGGTTGCTGGCTCTTTTAATAGCTGTATGAGTAGGTTGCTCAAGGGATGCCGTGGTAGTTTTGCTTAGAATAACAATAATAATAATAAAAAACGGGGAGGAATAATTGAATGAGAAATTGGTAGGATTTTTATATCTGAATGAAAAGGACTGTACAATCAATCTTATTTCTCTTCCTCCCTCCCTCCCTCCCTTCTTCCTCTCCTATTCTCTTTTCTCTCTCAAATTGTATTTGCATGATGATTGTATCTGACATGCTGATCTGCAAGTAATACTAAAATGGTTTTTCTCTTTCTCTCTCTCTCTCTCTCTTTCTCTCTGTGCAGTGGGTTTTTGCTATACTTTTTGGCTGTTTGTGGTGTCGTGCAGTGTTTGTTGGGGTTCTGAGGGGTGTGTGTGGATGTTTTGGGGCACGGGCTCCTCCCGACGATGGCCGACATCTGTTTTCTGGTGACATTGGTGATAAAAATCACTTTTGATTCCTTCTTAAAGCTTGCACTGTAAACATGTAAAAGCTGTTTTAAAAAAAGAAAAAAGGGGGAAGGAAAAAAATATATATATACTTTTTTTTTTTTGACCTCTGTTGTCCAAAGGGGAAGGAAACGGATCTCCAATTGTAGTACCCTGAACATTTCAAAATTAAAAAAAAACGAGCTGTTTGTATACATTGCCTGATGAAGCATTATTCCGGTTTGCTTTCATTTGCTTCAGTTTTTTAACATCTTAGCGCTCCAACCTTGTTTTGTTTTCTCATACGCTGGACCGGTTTTGATTACCACCTCACTATTTCTCTGAATCCTCCTTTGCTGCTTCAGTAAACCGGTGCGATCAAGGCGCCGGAGCAAACTTTGCGGGAAATATAAAAGCCCTTATTCCTGGGCTTGCTTCTGATCTAACCTGGTTGAGAACTTTTCCCTGGAACTCCTCAAAACTTTTCTCCTTCCTTTTTCAAACCCCGGAGGTGTATAAACAAACACACATTGCTTCTCAAATGTGAAGTGTGATATCAGAACACACTTGCTTTTATTCCTCCATACACTCCCTGTACAATCGGCGAGTGTCAGCTTCACGCTCTCTCTCTCTCTTTTTCTCTCTCTTTCTCTCTCTCTCCAAGATTTCCAAACTTGGGGGTCCTAACTAAGGCCTACTTTTCTTGCCTTTTTTAAGCCTTCAGGGGCCGCTTTTGCATTTTGCTGCTTTCCCAATAACGCCAGCTGCGTCCCAGGCCATTAAATCCATAGATCACCCTTGCTAGGAATATTGCTTCACAGCAACCGAGTCCCCCGTTTTCCTCACGAACTCGGCTTTTAATTTTGTCTTTGTTGGTTTCTTTAATTTTCTTTCTTTTTTTTTCAATTTAATTTAATTTTTAAAATAAAACTTATTTAAATTATGCTTTGGATAACCCAGACAAATGAGACCTCCCCTGTTCTCTTTGCCCCTTTTTCAGAAAGGCCTAAAGAATGTATTTGACGAAGCAATATTGGCCGCCCTGGAGCCCCCGGAACCGAAGAAGGGCCGCAGGTGTGCGCTGCTATGAACGTCCGGTCTCTTCGCGGCCCCTCCTGCCAAGCCTGGTGTTGATGTCATACTAAAAGCAATGTTGAAATCAAAACTAAAGATTTTCCAATATTTTCGTTTTTTTTTTTTTTTGCAATAATGACAAAAAAACCAACGCCGTGCGCCCCATTTTTTCCCATCACTCGCTCCCCGTCTCGAGAGGCAAACTGCCTTTCTTCCTCCCAGTGCCCTTACAGTTAGACTAATTCTTTTTTTTTTTTTAAATATAGAGTAAGGTATCCCGACCCCGATTAGTAACTAGGGGTTGTTGTTTTTTTTTGGTTTGTTTGTTTACTGTTAAAATTTTGTTTGTTTTCGAGTTTCGGGCATGCTTAATTTTTTTTTTGGGGGGGGGGTGTCCCTCCCCTAAACAGACTAATTCTCAAGTCTCTAGCCTCCCAAGACCCATCCTGCTAGGCTGGCCGTGACTTTCGGAGTCTTGTGTATTATTTTGCAGCCAGCGAAAGGGGTGTGTGGGTGAGCAGGTTTCGATCCTTGGAGGCAGTGGGGGCAGCTTCCGCAAACGAGAGAGACCGTCCCAAAACTGGGGTGCTCCTTTTGAAGGGAGGTGTCAGCTCACCCTCCCAGAAGCTGCATCTCCTCTGAAGTTGCCTTTGGTTCTCTCGTTTTTTTTCTCCCCCCCCCCCTCCGTTCTTCCTCCAGGCAGGTCGGGGAAACCTCGGCCCTCCCCTGCCAAAAACTCAACAAGTTAGCCCCCACATCGTTGGGGAGGGGCTGTCCCTTTGGCCAAAAGCTTTTTTTTCTCTCTCTCTGTGCGCGTTGGAGTGTGTTTTGGGGAAAAATCCCACCTATTTTTTGCCAATTGCTGACGTTTTTGGGGTGTGTTAGTCTTTTTCTTTTTTTTGGTTAAATTTCAAGGGGAACCCTCCCCCCCAAAACCTGTCAACATATAGGAGGTATTTAAAAGAAAGAGAAAAGAGCCTCTTTTTTTTTTGTTTTTTAAAGGCCACTGGGGGTCTCCTTCACTCCCCATTTCCCCTTTCCCCCTCCTCTTGGTAAGCAGCAATATTAGGCATACATTCAAAGTTCCCTCTGCCCCCCCCCCCCCCCCCAGCTGCCTTCGGATGTTCGAGACTTGGAGCCTAAGGAACTCACGGTGGGTTTTTCATCGAAAGGAGACCCAGAGGAGAAGGTATTTTCGGCAGGGTGTGGCGAGGGCTGGTTAAGACGGTGCGATCAAACCAGGCGCCGCCCCTCGGCCTCCCGGTGGGTGAGGAGGATCTCTTTTAACCCCACTGTTCAATGGGGATCTTCCTAAAGTATACTCTGGCTTGAATAACTTTTCAAATCTACCCAGATTCTAATTTCTTGTAGACTCGTTAGTGTTGGAACTGATGGCTATTATTATTCCCCCCCCCCCCCTCCATGTCTGAGTTCTTTGTATATGCATTTTTTTTTCTCTCTCCAGATGTATTAAACATAAAAGTATCTTCACAAGCCCGGCTAAGCATAATTTCTTCTTCCTAACCCTTTTCCTTCACTGGCACCCCAAGTGGGTTTTTTTTTTTTTTCTTTGCGCCTTTAAAATAAGCCCAATATCTATTTAAAAATTGTCTTCGGCTGCAAGGGACTCCGGATTTTTCCCCTCCCTCCCCTCTTGGTTCCTTCAGATCTCTGATTCCCTCTCTGCTGACTGGGGGTGGGTGGGCTTCTTAGCTCCGTTGTCACGTTGTGCAAGCGATTGTGTGTGCGGTCACCACAGTGCTGAAGGACCCCCCCCCTAATGTGATGTGAACCCTAACTTTGGAAACATTGGGACTTTTCCAAAGAAGGAATTCCCCCCTCCCCATGAATCCCCAATTCCTGGTTTAAAGGCATTAAACCCCCAAAAATGGACATGATAGCTTTCCTTTGCAAAACACACAAGGTGTGTGATTCCTGTTGTTGGGTCACCGACAACACAACCTCCATTCCAGGTTGATGCCAGGTGCCGACATTGACTTCCGTTTTCTTGGGCAGCGTTGAGAAAGTGGTTTGCTTTGCTTTTCTGTTATTTTGGTTTCTCCCCTCTCCCCCCCCAAATTGGCTTTGCTTGTCAGAAGGTCCCAAAAGGGGGGATTGCCTGAGCCCAGGACGTTGCGACCGTCATAAATACGAGTCAGCTTGCCAACCGTCCGAATGCGGGATGCTGCAACGGCCATTAGGGTGAAAAAATGATCCCAAAGTGTCTCTCTCTTTTCCCCCCATCCCCGCCCCCAATGCCGTTGTTAACTTCGAACGGTCACTAAATGAACGGTTCTAAGTCGAGGATTACCTGCACGAAGAGAGATTGCACACAGTGATACAGTGCTCCTGATGTACCCACTTCCTCATTTTGTTCAGAAGGCAAGATTGGCCAACTGCTTCCTTTGCACAAGCTTTGCTTTCTCTCTCTCTCTTTTTTTTTTTTTAAAAAACCGAAACTTCCTTTTTTTCTAGCCCAGTTTTATTTTATTTTATTTTATTTTTTGAAAAGTCGGAACCCGGATGGCAAAGCTGCACTTTTGAAAAAGAACCACTAGGTGGCGAAGCAGAGTTGACTTAGCCAGCTCATTCTCCATTCCACACCGCCCCCCCCACTCACCCGTTACCCCCCGCCCTCCCCTCCCCCCAAATTATGTTGTGGACTATGTAATTTCAGGGGAGGTCCGGCTGCATCTACTGTAGAAACCTCCGACTCTCGTAGTTTATATTTCCAGCATCTTTCCGTAACGGTGCTGGCTGCGTCCCCAGGACCGGCTGCCAAGTTGTTTACATCCGTGCTCTAAACGCATCAACAAGAGGTTTTGTGGAAAGACCCACGACAGCTGGGCCCTGGTGTGCGGGGAACCAGATTCTGCCAAGGGGAAATTCACTGGTGGTGGTGGGGTGGGTAAGGCTGCTGTTCTCGCAGAATCCCGTGTGGCCCTTGAGATGATAGGGGCCCCATCTATCCCTCCATCCCTCCATCCCTCCTTCCTATATCTTCTATATCTACTATCATCCCCATCTATCATCTACCTGTCTCTTGTCAACTATGCATCATCTGTATCAGTCAATGTATCTGTCCTCTATTATTTGTCTGTCTACCCCCATCTATTTTCCTTCCGTCTGTCCCCATCTATTCCTTCCTTTTCTATCTCATCTATCTATATCTATCCATCCACCCAACCCACCTACCTATTCATTTTCTTTCCTTATCTATCCATCCATCCACCTACCTATTCATTTTCCTTCCTTCCTTCCTTCTCTATCATCTATCCATCCATCCACCCACCCACCCACCCACCTATCCATTTTCCTTTCTTCCTTCTCTGTCTATCCACCCATCCATCCCCATCTATCCATTTCTTCCTTCTTTCCTTCCTTCTCTATCCATCCATCCACCTATTCATTTTCCTTCCTTCCTTCCTTCCTCATCTATCCATCCATCCATCCATTCACCCACCCATCCATCTATCCATTTTATCTATCCATCCATCCCCATCTATCCATTTCTCCTTCCTTCCTTCCTTCCTCTGTCCATCCCTCCATCCCCTATAAGCCCTTATAAAAAGAAGAACCACTGACACTGACATGCCCTAAACTCTGCTGAAAACTTTACCCAGCCTGGATATAACGAAACGTTCGGAGACCAACCCACAAACCCGGAGAAAGAGCCTCCACCCTACACCTTTTGAGGCTACAGATAATTGGCCACCATTGCAAAAACGAACACTTTTCGTTCTGCGTCGCCAAACCCGGAGGAAAAACCCCCGGGCACCCTTCAGATTCCCTAAGATGTACCCATTCTACAGAGGGCAACTTTCCCCCTCTGTGGATTTGCCTCTCCTTGACCCGGAGAGAGTCTTTTGACGCTTTTCGCCAGTGATTTACACCCAAGGTGTTTAAATAGGCGCCCTTGGAAGGAGAAAAGAGAGTCTCGCTTGTGCTTGCAAACAAACCTTCCTTCGTTTTATTTATTTACACTTCTGCCTCTGAAATGCCTCCTTTTTGAGACGCAGGGCATTCTTGGCTGTTGATTTCTCCCTGTCCTAACTTCTCCCGTGGCTCCTTCCTCCTCCTCCTCCTGTTGTTTCAGCTGTAGGAAGGGAAGCAGAACTGACCACGTGGGCTGTGAGCTTCTGGCCACGCCGGAGATGCCGTTTTGCGGGATATTTTATATCTCCTTCCACACAGCGTTGCTTGGAATCGGACCATGCTTTGCTCTGCCCTCTCCCGAATTTGGATTGGAGGGGGGGGGGAGTTTCTCAACCGCATAGAAAAGAGCCCCTTCTCCTCATTTCTTCTTTCTTGACCCCTCTGGTCTTCCCAACACAACGAGTCCTTCTGTCCGATCGGCTCCCGGCTCTTCACCTGACGAAGCCCTCCCTGTTATTTATATTGCTTTTGGCAAGGTGACGCTGCCTGGAGATGCCGAGTGGGAAACACGGTGTTTATTTTGGACCGGACGGCGGGAGGGAAAATGAGTTGAACCCCCCCTGCCTGCTAAGACTGAGAAAAAAACACCTGTACACCTTCCTCTGGGATTGGAATCGAGCCCAAGAGCAAGAGCCGCCCTTAAGACTTATATACCGCTTCACGGTGCTTTTACAGCCCCCTCTAAAGCAGTTTACACAGAGTCGGCCCCCGCAACAATCTGGGTCCTCCTTTTAACCGACACGGAAGGCTGAGTCAACCTTGAGCCCCGGTCAGGATCGAACTCTGGGCTGAGTTGACAATATTGCAAAATACTGCATTCTAACCACTGCGCCACCATGGCAGGATAGGATACAGAATAGAGCCGTGATGGTGAACCTACGGCACGCATGTCAAGAGGTGGCACGCAGACCCCTCTCCGTGGACACGCGTGCCGTCGCCAGCTGGTTTTCGTGGGTGCCTGGAAACAACCCGAAAAATGGCCTGTTTTTTGGGCCGTTTTCCGGAGCACTGGCGCCCGTGAAAACCAGCTGGCACATGCCTTTTTGGGGGGTTGTTTTTCAGGCCATTTTTGGGTCCAAAACGGCTGGAAAACAGGCATGCACCAGCTGGTCTTCGCGGGCGCTGGAGCGCGAGAAAAACGACCAAAAAGCAGGCTGTTTTCAGGCCAAAAATGGCCTATTTTTTTGCTGTTTTGGGGGCTGTTTTTCAGTGCTCCAGCGCCAGCGAAGACCAGTTGACACATGCCTGTTTTTTGGCCTGAAAATAGTTTGGAAAAAAGGTGAAAAAAATATGCATGCGCCAGCTGGTTTTCATGGGCGCCAGAGTGCCAGAAAATGCCCAAAAGACGGGGCATTTTTGGGGGCACATGCATTCCGGTTTGGGCACTCGGTGCCGAAAAGGTTTGCCATCACTGGAATAGAGGATAGAATAGAATAAGAGAGAATGGAATGGAATAAAATTGGAATGGAATAGAATATATAATAGAATATATAGAATATTGAATGGAATAGAAGATAGGATAGGATAGAAATAGAATATGGAAATAGAATATAGAACAGAACGCAGAAAATACGCAGAATAGAACCGAAACAGAATGCAGAAGTTGTAAATGCTCCAATACTGGAGGCTTTTAAGAAGAGATTGGACAGCCATTGGTCTGGAGGTCTCCTGCTCCAGAGCAGGGGGTTGGACTAGAAGACCTCCAAGGTCCCTTCCGACTCTCCCCCCCCCCCCAGCCCCTTCCAGGAGTCCAGCATCATCTTCCTGCCCCCGTCTTCTGATCTTCTGCTTCTTCCCCGGCTGGAAGGAGCCTTAAACGGGCTCAAAAGAGCTATGTGCATTTTTTTTTTCTATTTTTAATTTATATTTTCCCCTCTGGGTGTCTTTTTTTTCTCTCCACGTTTTGCCCACATTCGCAGCCTTGTGCGTTGCTCGTAAGGGGAAGTTTCCCTCCTTTACCCCGAAATCATAGATAGCGCCCTCCACCCTTTCAAGATGTCTTGCTTTTCCACCAAAACTTTTTTCACAGCTCCACGGAAGGTCCGCCAGAACCGAGCGAAACACACACAGCCCCCCAAAAAAAATCACACCGGAGGCTTCTAGCGTTTTGTGTTTTCACGGTGAACCCCCAAAGACAAGACAGACACAACATGTTTTGTCCTGCTCTTCCATTGTTGCCCGTTGCTATTCTCGCCAGCAGCCAAAAATAGCGGTGGATTTATCGTCCCCATTTAAAGCCCGCTGATCTGGTTGCCCTCCCAAAGATCCTGAGGCAATGAATTCCACAGGTTAACCAATGAGACTCTTGGTTTAAAAAAACAAAACAAAAAACCTCCTTTGCTTTGGCTGGGATCTCGTGGTATTAAATCCCTGGGAGTTTATAAAGCTGGTAGTCTTGTGCTTCATTTTATAACTTTTTTTCTTTCTTTCTCTACCCCTCCTTCCCTCCCTCTACCCCATTCTTTCTTTCCTTCCTTTTTTTCTCTCCCCTTCCCTTCCTTACTTTCTTATACTTTTTTTTTCTCTCCCCTTCCCTTTCTCTACCCCATTCTTTCTTC